AATAAGATCATTGGAAAGAGGACCAAGAAGTCCATCCTGCACCAGTCAGGCCATAATGTCAAAATTAAGTGCAACTGGTGGACACCCAAAAAATATCTGACAGCAAACAGGGTGCCAAGATCCAAGATCCAGATCCTAAGGCCTAACAGTAGTTATGGGAAGAAAACCAAGTACATGCTGCCCTGTGGCTTCCAGAAGTTCCTGGTTCATAGCATTAAGGAGCTGTGGGTGTAGTCTCACTCTTATGCTGAGTGCTTCCAAAGTTAAGGTTAATGCAAGTGCTTTTATTCATTGAGCTGTCTCACCAGCCCAAGTGTTTTCTTCTTTCAGCATGCCCTCACGTTGGCCATTCTCTTTGTTTGTTTTGTTTTTCCAGACAGGGTTTTTCTGTGTAGGTTTGGAAGCTGTCCTGAAACTAGCTCTTGTAGACCAGGCTGGTCTCAAACTCAAGAGATCCACCTGCCTCTGTCTCACAAATGCTGGGATTAAAGGCATGCACCATCACAGGCCAGCATGTTGGCCATTTTTATGTGGTGCACCTGCGCACTCAGGTGCACACAGTATATGAGTGTGAGTGTATGGAAGTGTGAACTGCAAACCAGCTTGGAAAAACGGAAAAAGCACCATCACAGTCACCAATCTAACGCCGGGCTGTGAAGAAAATGGACAGATGCATCACTCACATGTACGATTTATTTATGCTTAAATAAAACCACAAAAACTGCAAGCAGCAGGAACAGATAGATACTTGTGTGCCAAAAGGCAAGTAGAAACCATACTTCTTTTCTAAGCCTAAACTGCCCTGAACTTCAGAAACAGCCTGTGAAACATGAAAAGAGGAAGACTTTGGGGATGGGGCCAACATCAGAAGACAAGCACGTTTCTGATAAATCACATGTTCTTGCAACTGCAGATTATGCCAGTTCTCTGTTCCATGAATCTCAGTCCCAAAAGGTATGACCCAAAAGCAACTTAAGGAAGACCTGTTTCTGTAACTTGGAGAGGACCCAAGTATCCAGATTAAGTTTATAGATGTTGGGAAAAGTGGAGATAATACTGGGTTAATCTAGCCCAAAGAAAGTTGTTCACCAATCATAATACTATGGACTTTGTATCTGTTGTCTCTAAAGACGAGGGCAAGGACAGGGTTTGTGTTGATCAGGCTGTTCTTGAACTTGTGGACTCAAGTGAGCCACCTCAGTCCAGTGCTGAGACTGCATATGTGGACCAAAGCATGGCTACAATAATCCTAAAAACCACTTTGAATGTTAACTGTGTGTATATACCGTGTCTGCATGTCTGGGTGTGAAAGCCACATATTTTTGGTGTCGAAGTCTCTCCTTTGTTGTAGAATATTAAAGATGTGTTAATTTGTTTATGCTGTGGACCATTTAATGATAAAAAGATGTGTTGCATTCTTTTATGTTGCATTTGTTTAGCTCTGTGAAACTATGTTATTGTGTCTGTCTAAAGTACCTGACTGGTCTAATAAAGAGCTGAATGGCCAATGTGAGGCAGCAGAAAGGATAGGCAGAGCTGGCAGGCAGAGAGAATAAATTAAAGAAATCTGGGAAAGAAAGATGGAGGACGGAGAGAAGAGATCAGCCAATCAGCCAGACATGGAATAACAAAGAGAGAAAAGGTATACAGAAAGGTAAAAGCCCAGAGGCAAAAGGTAAATGGGACCATTTAGGTTAAGAGAAGCTAGCTAGGAATAAGTCAAGCTAAGGCTGGGCACTAATAGGAAAGAATAAGGGCCTGGGTGTTTATCTGGGAGTTGGGTGGCAGGCCCCCCAAAGAGTAAAGAGCAAAGAACAAAAAACAAACAACTATACTGGTTGGCTTGGAGCTTGCTGACTGGGTGACACCTCCGTTTTCCTTTTTGTTGTTTTGGTATTTTGAGACAGTTTCTCTGTGTAGCCCTGGCTGTCCTGGAACTTCCTTTTTAGATTAGACTGGCCTCAAACTCACAGGGTTAACCTGTCTCTGTCTCCCAAGTCCTGGGACTAAGGACTAAGCGCAAGAGCCACCATGCCCAGTTCCTCCAGGGGCTTTTGGAATTTAACTCAGGTCCTCAAGCCTGTAGGGTAAGTGCTGTAGTGACTGAGCTATCTCCAAGAAGATTTTGTTTATTTCTTTTTGGGTTTTTTCGAGATAGGGTTTCTCTATGTGTAGCTCTGGCTGTCCTGGGACTCACTCTGTGGAGACCAGGCTGGCTTTGAACTCAAGAGATCCACCTGTTTCTGCCTTACAAGTGCTGGGATTAAAGGCATGTGCCACCATGGACTTGCCTTTTTATTTTTCTTTTAAGCATTAAAAAAATTGTTGTGGCTGGGCAGTGATGGCACATGCCTTTAATCCCAGCATTTAGGAGGCAGAAACAGGTGGAGCTTTGTGAGTTCAAGGCCAGCCTGGTCTACAGGTAAGTTCCAGGACAGGCTCCAAAGCTACAGAGAAACCCGTATCAAAAAACAAAATAAATAAAAACTGTGTTTATGAACATATAGCATAGCACCTGTGGAGGTCAAAGAGTAACTTGCAGGAGTCAGTGGGGACAGGAATCAAAGTGAGGTCAGGCGCAGTAGGAACTTTTATCAACTAAATCATCTATCATCAGTCATTTTTGTTTTTATGAAGACAGGATGCCACTGAATAGCTCTGGCTGACCTTGAACTCACAGAGATACACATGCTTCTGCCTGCCAAATCCTGGGATTAAGGGCAAGGGCCACCATGATCTTTTCTTCCTTCCTTCCTTCCTTCCTTCCTTCCTTTCCCTCCCTCCCTCCTTCCCTCTTTCTTTCTTGATAAAAGGTCTTAATATGGGGCTGAAGAGATGGGTCAGAAGTAAGAGTACTTACTACTCTTCCAGAGGACCAAGGTTCAATTCCCAGCACCCACATGGCTGTTCACAATTATCTAGAACTCCAGTTCCAGGGGACTCAACAACCATGGCAAAATACCAATACCAATGCACATAAAATTAAAAAAAAAAAAGTCTTACCATGTAACTAGGGATGACATGCAACTGGCTATGTAAACCACACAAGTCTTGAAACAATTCTCGTTTCTGCCTCCCAAGTGCTAGGATTAGGCATGCACCACCACAATGGCTAGAGTAATCTTTTACACAGGCCTTTCTGTGTACTTTTCTGTTTTCTTAAATTTTAAGTGACTGGTAAAAATAGATTATACACTGTCAGTTTTCTTTTCTTTAAAAATTATTTAACTGTTTATGTGTGTTACTTGCCTGCATAATTCATCATATGTCTGATGTCTGCCTAGGTCAGAAGGTGTTGGGAATAAACTTAGGTCCACTGAAACAGCAACAATTCCTCTTAACTACTGAGCTCCAGCCAGTCATTTTTTTTTTTTTAAATTAACAATTTCATTTTTGTGTACCAGTGTTTTGCCTGCATACATGTCTGTGCATCATGTACATGCAGTGCCTTTGGAGGCCCAGAAGATGACATCAGATCCCCTAGGCATCGAGTCCCAGTTGTGAGCCACCATTGTGGGTGTTAGAAATTGATCCTGGGCCCTCTAGAAGCACTAAGAAGGCAGAGGCAGGAGGATCTCTGTGAGTTCAAAGCCAGCCTGGGCTAGAGTTCCAGGACAGGCTCTAAAACTACACAGATAAACCCTGTCTCGAAAAACGAAACAAATCACTTGGGAGGTAGATGCATGTGAATCTGTGAGTTGGAGGCCAGCCTGGTCAACAGAGCCAGTTCCAGGACAGCCAGTGCTACACAGAGAAACCCTGTGTAGAAAAACAAAACAAACAAACTCATTGTGTGTATGAATGACACATGCAGTCAAAGGGCAGTGATTGCTCTCTCCACCTTCATGTGGAACCTGGGATTGAACTCAGGCTACAGGCTTGTGTAACAAGGTTCTTTATACACTGAACCATCCTTGCCTCAGCTTTCTGAGTGATAGGATTATTAGGTAAGCTACCACCATGTTCAGCTCCCCCATTTGTTTTGAAAAATTAAAAGCTTTCAGAAATAGTGTTAAATTTGTGTTTTAGACAGCCTGTGTAGCATAAGGCAGACTCATGATTCTTCAATTTCAACTTGCCAAGTACTGGGTTACAAGAATGCACTACCACAACCTGTATAAAACCAGTGTATTGATGCTGCATCCACTCTTGAGGATCATAAAAACTTGGCAGTCTCTGTTAGCAGCTAGACACTTTTCCTAGGGCAATAGGCAATAAGAACGGCACTGTTCTATCCCTGGGCAGTCTGTGCAATGACCTTTTGTAAGGCTCTCACTTGTTAGAATTCATAGTTACCAGGCATGAAGATGCAAGGCTGTCAGTCCTGCTAGTCAAGAGGATAAAGCTAGAATATCTCAAGTTCAAAAGCAATTAAGTGAGATACTAGCTTAAAGTAAAGGTAAAAAGAGCTGTGTGTAGCACATGTCTTGAATCCCAGTACTCATGAAGCAGAGGCAGATAGATGTCTATGAATTCTAGGCCAGCCAAGGTTACAAAGTGAGACCATCTCAAACACACACACACACACACACACACACACACACACACACACAAATGGGTTTGGGGGAAGAACACATGTCTAATCCCCAGTGTAAAACACAAACATGCACACAGAAAGAAGCGACACAGCAAGTTGGACAGGACATCATTTATTCCCTTTTTACAGATGAGGAGCTTCTGTGATCACCTCAGGTCACTGACTTGGCTGATAGGGAACAGACTCTGACTTCAGTGGCTCAGCATTCTTGGGTTCCCTACCTTCCCTCCACAGCCATGACACTAGTTACTTCTCAAAATAGACATGCAAAAGCAAGTAGAAGCCTTTTCAGCTGCTTCTGACAACCACAGCAGACATACATCCACCAGACCCCACACAGCGAGAGGGAGATGTATTCAGAAACTCAAATCTGGGTGTGGCCATACTGCCCTCAATATGGCTGATTTCATCAGAAAACTGAATCTACACTGGAGAGCAAAGCGCACAAAAGAACACCAGTGGCTTTTCTTTTTTTTTTTTTTGGTCAATTACTTCTAGTGTGAGTTCTATTTATTGAGAGCTTACTCTGTCCCCCCAGCTACTTGACTTGGGACCCAGAACAAGGTAGACAAACAAGGATTCTGCCTTTGTGAAGCTCATGTTCCAATGCATTCTTCAGCAATTCACAAACTAGTGCTGGAGGTTTAGTGGCAGAGCATTTGCCCAGTAAGGGGCTGCAGCTATGGCTGAGCAGGAGAACCTTTGCTGAGAATCTCCCAGGGAAGGAGAGGCAGCAGCTGAGCAGGAGAGCCACTGTCCCACTGTCTAGCATCTCCTAGCAAGGGCTGGGGCATGGCTCAGCAGGTGAGCAACTATCTACCCTGCAGGAGGCTCAGGATTGCACCCCCAGGACTGCAAAATGAAAAGCAAGGAACAATCCTTAAGTGCCAATGAGTCTGATGAGCTGTATCTTACATCAGTGTTTGATGCAGTTCACAATGGTGCCTCATTTCAAGGTAAGGTACCGACATTTAATTTCTCTGAAACTGGCAACTCTGAGAAAATTCTTAAACAATACATAGCAGCTATCAACCTTTATGCATCCAGGACACAGGCCCTCCAGCCCACTGCAGTCTCTACCATTTCCTCCCACTTCACAACTAGGTGATCTGCCTACTTCCCACTTTTGCTACACACATAACTGCCCCTGTCACTGGCACTGGAGCAAAATACACAGCCAAACAAGATCATTTCAGAGACTACCAAGTCATACAAAAGAAAGAAAAGCACCAACGCAACTGGCAGGGCAGGATTGGTGGAAAGGGCTACTTCGGATGGAGTGTTTGAAGAGGCAACTGTTTGGACTGAATCACATTGACAAGTCTGCCAACAGAAAGGAAAAATGCTTGCAGCAAACAAGAGGGACCAGCCCATACTGGGGCCTGTGAACTGCTTGGGTCAGCAAAGAAACAGCAAGAATGTGGTGGGCTGGACCATCGCAAAGAAAGACCCCAGGAGGGGTTAAATATCACTATACTATGCAGGCCAAAAAGACAGTTCAGGGTTTTAATCTAAGAGCAGAGGGAAGCCTTTCTAGGGTTTCTAATTGGGGAATAGCATGATCTGTTTTATGTTTTTCAAAAGCTGGCTAAACTATGTAGAAAAGTGACTTGAAGTAATGAAGTTGGAAACAGAAGTTACTATACATACAGTATGTGACAATGGCTAAGACCAGGATGGTTAACAGAACATACGGAGAGACAGCAGATGCTGCAGGTCATCTGGGTGCAGTAGTGGTGGTGGGAGGGGGACGACAAGGGAGCCATCAAGGTCAACTTCAGGGTTGTGCCTTTTCTACATTCTGTAGCATTGAGGACGCTGGAAGAAGCCCTACTTATAAGCAAGAGATCAAAATTAACTGTGATGGATACTTTTTGCTAGATTCACGCATTCCTAGGTTCCTGACATCTTCCTCACCCCTTGAATCCAAGTAGTCTTCAAATGTATATGTCTGAGATCCAATCTCATTGGATGTAATCTACTTCATCCCCATTATTGTCTTAAATTCATTACTGTGCAGCCCCATGTCTACATCCCCTGTAGCTGTGAATGAAGAAAAAGCACTTCAGACATCAGCTTCTAGGTCCTTCCCACCAATTTTTACTGTGACAGCAGACCCAGTCTTGTCTAAATGTGTTAGCCGGCATCACTAGCTAGTTTCATGAAGCAAGCACTGAAGTCATGAATCCAAGAGGTCTCCAATAGTGAGGAGTGCCCTGTTAAGATGGCATTACTTCTCAAGGCACGTGAACCAAATCACCATATGCAACCAAGATGAATGAGCAAGCCAAGGCCCAAGAAACTTGGGCTTCCCGAGGGCTGTGGTTTTTTCCCATTGGTTGCAGACCACAGTTTGATCCCAAGTTTACCTGATAGTTAAGAACCTTCAACAGCACTGTTATATTCCACGCACGGGAACTTTGGAATGCTCTTAGCCTCAGAACATCTTTTCAAGAAGGCTACAGAGAGCATCGTTCCCCATTTTACAAATAAGAAAACTGAAGCCCAGAGCAAAAAAAATCTCTAATCAAGATCTCTCCATATGGAGCCCAGGAGGTCCTGGAATTCACTATGTAGTCCAAGCTGGACTTGAACCCTTGATCCTTCTTCCTGTCTTTGCCTGTAGTGTGCTGAGATTATAGAACAGTACCTTAATTATTTCTTGCTGGTAACAGGAGCCTGGTCCAGGTGGAGATTCACCTTATAGCATTATAAAACACATTCTACCTCCTTATAAAACAGCCACCTTGTTCTCTGGTATTCCTCAGGTTTTACCTCAACACTCACAAACTTCTTTGGGTGTCAGAGTCTTTTGCCACAGTCAAAGGCTTTGATCTCTCTCTCTTCTCTCTACCCCTCTTCTCAGTGTTGGGTGAAGACAGAGTCCACCCTTGGGCCCATGAGAAAATAGCACCTTTCAGTTTGGGAGGAGTCAAACAAGAAGAGAGAGAGAGAGAGATCTAAGTATGCAAGAACAGTTTCAATGGGAAAAAGTGGGGGCCCCACCAGGAAGAATACTGGGAAGTTCCTCCAGGTCTCCACACCCAGAGGCACCTGGGAAGAAGAATAGCAACCACTGGGGCAGGGAGCCAGACCCATCCAGAGCCAGAGTCATTTCTTTAGGGCACCCAGGTTCTTTAGGGCCTCCTGGGCCTGGGCCAGCTGTTGCTGCAACCTCTGGCGGGTGCTCTCGCTGGATGCCCGCTTCAGGAGGCCCTGCATCTCCTCTACCACAGCCCGGTGGCCAGGAGTGTTGTGGAAGAGCCGCACTGCACGGTCCCCACAGGAGGCCAGGAAGCGGCCAGTGGTATCAAAAGTCAAGTCAGCAATACACTCCCCATGGACACACTCGAAGCATTCCTCCTTCTCCCCACGCCTCGTGTTGAAGAGATGAATACTGGTGCCAGTGGCCAAGGCCAGGACATGGGTGTCAGGGGAGAGGGCCAGGCGGCAAGGCATGCTGCTTGCCTCTTCAAAGCGGCCTGTCCTTAGCAAGTAGGGGTCCTGTTGCTTCTTGTATTCCACATCTGTGTCCCACAGCTTCCATGTGCCATCCTTGGAGACAGAGGCCATCCTGTAATGTGGGAAATCACAGCTAGAGCCTCAACAACCCCGGCTTAGAAAGGCACTGGAGCAGCCCAAGGAACTGCAGCTAGGACTTGGCAAGAATCAAGTCCTCCACCATTTTCAGACCAGCAGCCCAGGCCTCCTGCTCAACCCAGCTTGCTGGTTCACTCCTATAACCCCAGCACTGGGGGCTGAGGCAAGGGCAAGAGGATCAATGTGAGTTAAAGGCCAGCCTGGGCTACCAGGTGAGACCCTGTCTCAACAACCACAAACAGAACAAGATAAAATAAAAAAAATTGCCAAGCAAGGCAGTACACACCTATCTAAATCTCAGTGCTTGAGGCAGGTGGACCAGGACTTCAAGGTCAGCCTTGGCTATCTGTACTAAAAAAGAAAACACACTGATGCACTCACCTCCGAGAGTCATTGGAGAAGGCGAAAGAGTGGACAGAGGCAGAGTGGCCCTTCAGCTCAAAGGCTCGCTGCACCTCCTGGAATTCCCCTTTCTTCCCGAAGCAGACCTCCCAGACCTTCACATCTGGGGTGAAGCCACACGAACCCACAAACCTGTCACATAACCCAAACTCTTAAAACTCAAATAAAGACATCTTGTTGCTAACAAATCTTAGCCATCTCTCTTTCCTGACAAATAGTACCTTTTGTTGTTGCTAGGCATGGATCTAGGGTCTTATTAAATACAAGGCAAGAGATTTACAGCTAGAGCCCCAGTCTAAGGAACCTTTTAAAAGTGTTTCTGTGTCAGGCATGGACAATCCCAGCTAGTCTGGAGGCTGAGGCAGGCGGATCTCAAGTTTAAGGCCTTCCTGGGCAGTATGGAAAACTTAGCAGGAGCTTGTCTCAAACTAAAATTAAAATCAGTATAACAAGACTGGGTGTAGTGATGCATGCTTTTAATCTCAATGCTCAACAGGCAAGAACAGGTGGATCTCTTGTGAGTTTGAGACTACCCTGGTTTATATAGTAAGTTCCAGTCTGGCAAGGGCTACTCACTGAGATCCTGTCTCAGAACAATAAAACCAAACAAAAATTTTAAAAAGGCCAGGCATGGTGGCACATGCCTTTAATCCAAGATCTCAGGAAGCACAGGCAGGTAGATCTTAGTGAGTTCCAGGCCAGCCTGGTCTACATAATAATCGCCAGTGATATACAGACAGCCCTGGACTCAGTAACAAAACAAGTGAAATGAAGCCCCTAAGTAAGTGAGAGCCTTCCGATGATGTGCAGTGGTTGAGTGTTTGCCTAACATGTACAGTGCTCTGGCTCCCATCAGCAGCACTGCGAAAATAAATACACCTTAGGTAACAAACAGACACTAGGACTATAGGAGCTTTCGGGAAATCCTTTCACTGTTTGGAGAGCTACAACTGATACCCAGATGTCCTCACCCACACCTCAAAACCACCTGAGCTCTGTACCTGTCCTCTTCCTTACCTGCTACATGGGGAGATAACAGCGTAAGTGTTATTCATCTGGTTGGTGTTGATTGTGGACAGCACCTGACCTTTCAGATTCCAGATAAGAATAGTTGTGTCACTGGAGGCTGTCATGATAAACTTCCCTGACAAGGAGAAGAAAGTTGTGAGGCCAGGACCATGACCAAACCATCACCTCCCAAAGAAACAAGGCATTATCAACTCATTCGACAAATATAACTCAGGAGGCTGGGAAGATGTCTCAGCAGATGGAGGTACTTGTCACCAAGCCTGATAATCTGAGTTCAACTCCCATGTGTTGAAAAGATTGGGCTGACCTCTACAAGTAATTCTCTGACCTCCACATACATGTGTGCTATCACACGCACACACGCAAATGTTAAGAATGGGGGAGAGGGGGCAGGACCTGGAGAGATGGCTCTTCCAGAGGACCTGGCCTTAATCCCCAGCACCCACATGGCAGCTCACACTTGGCTGAGACTCTAGTCCCAGGGCACCCCATGCCCTCTTCTGGCCTCTGTGAGTACTGCATGCAGGTGGTGCACAGACATACACTCAGGTAAAACACCCAACACATAAAGTAAAAATGATCTTTACAACAGACAAAACAAAGAACAAGGCACTTTTGCATGCCTTGAGTGAGCTCCATGCACTAGACTTCCCTACCTGTGTCAGCAATGCCAATGTTGATGATGGACGCCTTGTGCTTTTTAGGAAAGTCCTGCGGGGTGGCTGTGAAAGTAAAGCCCCCATCTTCTCGCTTGGCCATCTTAAAGACACGGAGGGTGTCACCATTGGCCAGCCAAACAATGAAGGCTCTAAGAGACAGCAAAAGAGAGGTCATTTCTTCACCTGGACAGAGGCTTAAGTGCTCTAAATTCCGGGGTGTGTGTGTGTGTGTGTGTATGATCAAGACTGTCCCTCTTGCTCTGCTGTATAGCCTTTTATTAATTTTTTTCATTTTACATAACCTCAGTTCCCTGTCTCTCCTCCCCACTTCCCACTCATTTTACTATAGATCCCTTGGTTCAAAATCTCTTTCTTTTTTTAACTCTAAAATTTTTCTTTATGTTTGCACACCATATACCTGATGCCCTTCGAGGCCAGAAGAGGACATTGGCTCCCTTGAGACTAGACTTATAGACAACTGTGAACTGTCATGTGGGTGCTGAGAATTGAACCTGAGTCCTATGTAATAGCAGCCAGTGCTCTAAACCCCTGAACCATCACCACTCCAGCCCTTCAAAATCTCATAAAAACTATTCAGAAAGCCAATGAAATAGTTCCGCAGGTTAAAAAGCACAGCTTGGCAAGGCTAATGTGACTTGAGTTCAATACTCAGGAACCCATATAGTAGAAGGAAAAAACCCCAACTTTTGTTGTCCTCTGTCCCCCACACACAAAGAGCACAGTAATTCAAGGACAGAGATGCATCTCAGTGGTAGGCTCTGGGTTTGAGCTTTAGCACTAAAACATTAAAAAATACCCTTCCTAAATAGAAGAGGCCTTGAGACTTAAGAAGCAGGAAGCCCTGAAAGTCACAAGACTCCTAAGGCCCCTCTCCAAGTTTACAGAAGTGGTAAACAATTGCTGGGATGAGAAGACTGTTTGCTGGAGCTGCCTTAAAGACCAATAAGCAGCTCCAAGATAGTTTTTGTGAGTGATTACCCACAGTGGGGTGCACATTTTATGATTTGGCTCACAAAGAGTAGTCCATGTTATTGTTTGTTTTTCAAGACATGGTTTTTCTTTTGTAGCTTTGGAGCCTATCCTGGAACTCACTCTGTAGACCAGGTTGGCCTCAAATCACAGAGATCTACCTGCCTCTGCCTCCCAAGTGCTGGGATTAAAGGTGTGCACATCATTGCTCAGCCACTACTTTTAAGAATCTTCTTACCCATATTCCTGTAAGCAACCCCAATAAACTCACTTGTTTGCAAAGCTACACATGGCACAATCACTCGTTGGTCTGTTATTGATGCCCTATCTAGGTTAAACAGACATTTGTGGGCTGGAGAAATGGCTCAGTGGTTAACAGCACTGACTGCTGTTCCAGAGGACTGAGTTCAATTCTCAGTACTCACATGGTAGCTAAAAACTGTAACTCCAAGATTTGACACCCTCAAACAGACATGTATGCAAAGCACCAATGCAAATACTATAATTAAAACTAACAGAGGATTGCTCATGTTTCCCTAAACAAGGCACTCGGGGCCACATTGAATCACAGCACTGGGGAGAATGGGGCAGATAGATTACACAAGTTCAAGGGCAAGCTGCATCATACAGTAAGAACAACAAACAAGGTCCTGTGTCCTGTCTTAACCAACAAACTAAAACAACTAACAAAAACCCACAAAGCAAGAAAGGCTGTGAGCATGTGTGATTCCCTGAGTTCAGAAAAGAGGAAAAAATAAATAAAAAGGATCCTCCTAACTTTGGTTCCTTTCATTTCTAGAATGTAGGAAGTCCTAAGAGTTTCCAAAATTCATGGCAAAACTAGATTTTGGAACATCCAGGAGAGGAATGATTTCCCCCTCTTTGCTTCCCTTTTGTAGTGCGGAGCCTCCATGGGGCCAGAGGAAGTGCCCATAATCTATGGATGCTCTCTTTATGTCATCCCAGGTAGAATCTTGGTCCCTCCTCACTAACCCCACTGGACTTGGGAAGGCCAAAGCCAGAAGCTGGGCTTTTGCAGGCAAGCCTGAGGCTCTGTCCTGTCCCACCTGCAGTCAGGACTGAAGCGCACCAAGGTGGCATGGTCCAGCTCCACATTGGCTCTCATACTGCGGTGTTCCCGCTGAAGGAAATCTTTGGTGCTCCAGATTCGGACAGTTCGGTCATCAGCACAGGTGGCCAGATACTTGCCATTGCTACTGAAGTCCATGCAGGATATATTCCCACTATGGCTCTAGGGATAAGAATTCAGTAAGTATAAATGACATCTTCTCCAGTGGATTTTGAGGCTGAACATAGTGGCCCTGATGCCCGAGTGACCAACAAGCCAAGGATAGAACAGAATAAGCTAGTCCTGGCAGTTCAGTTCTACAATCCCAGCTACTCAGGAGGCTGAAGCAGTAGGATCTCAAGTTCAAGGCTTGCCTGGGCTACAGAGAAAATCTAAAGCCAACCCAAACAATTTAGTAAAACTATCTCAAAATTAAATAATATAAGGAAATAAACAGTAGAGTGGGCTAGGATTGTAGCTCAGCAGTAGAGTGGCTACCTACAATCTCCCAGTAAGGTGCTTAGCTGAAGAGCACTTATGTAGAATCTGACAATTAAGGACTGGAGGTATAACTCAGCAGTAGAGTGCTTGTGCTCATCTAACATGCACGAAGGCCTGGTACTACAAGAGGGTTTTTGGGGCGGGGGAGTAAAGGGCCAGAATAGGGTAAGTCTACTCTCTTGGTAAACAGTAGAGGCATATGTAATATGCACAGATTACTACAAAAGATAAAGTCTGTGGGGGTTTGGGTCTTCACTTTCATATAACATGTGTTCAGTAACCAGGAGCAGCAAATACCTTTAATGCTGCAGCCAGAAGGCGGTGGCTGAAGCTGTGTTGCTGAGGCTTCTCCTTGCGAATCCGCTGATTCTGTTTCTGCTTCTTGGATCCTGAGTTTTTGGCTTCATTTACTTTTTGGCCTAGAAGAAATAGTCATGTCATTTATCCATGCACTCACTCAGAAGTATCTACTGAGTACCTAGGACTTGCCCAGGCTCTGGGTAGAGCACCAGGGCATGAGCCAGGTATGGCCCTTGTCCTTGAAGAAAGAAAGTGATATGTGTAGAAAGAGGCTTGGAAGGTTTGGAGAGGGAGGGGGGGGGTGCTTCAGTAGGTAAACTGCTTGCTCTCCAAGTATGAGGGACGTGAGTTTGATACCTACAACCCACATAATAACACCAGGTACCAAAAAAAAAAAAAAGCCAGGTGGTGGTAGTGCGTGCCTTTAAATTCAGTACTCAGGAGGCAGAGGCAGGTGGATCTCTGTGAGTTTGACCAGCCTGGTCTACAGAGCAAGTACCAGGACAGGCTCCAAAGCTACACAGAGAAACCCTGCCTCAAAAAAAAAAAAAAAAAAAAAAAAAAAACAGGTACAGCGGCATAAGGCATATACTTGTAAATCTCAGCACTGGGGGGATGGGGGGGTGGAGTAACTTAATGGTAGAGGGCTTGTCTAGCATATGCAAGGTTTCAAGTTCAATTTCCAGATGCACTAAACACAAACAAATAAATGAAGCTGGAGATGGTTCAGTGATTAAAACATATATTACTCTTTCAGAGAACCAGAGTTTGCCTCCTGGCACTCAAATCAGGTGGTTCATAACCAAACATAACTCTAGTTCCAGAGAACATGGCACCTTTGGGCTCCAAGGACACCTTTACAAATATGGACAAACCAACAGACATATATAATTTTAAAAATATTTAAGCTTTTTTTTTTTTTTTTGGTTTTCAAGATAGGGTTTCTCTGTATTGTTTTGGAGCCTGTCCTGGAACTAGTTCTGTATAGACCAGGCTGGCCTTCAACTCACAGAGATTCACCTGCCTCTGCCTCCTGAGTGCTGGGACTAAAGGTGTATGACAGTAACGCCTGGCTAGCTTTAAAAAAAGAAAAAGAAAAAGCTTAGAAATCAGACCTGAGTTGGATTTGGTCTTTATCACTGAGTGATCTTTTTTTCTGTTTTTAAAGCCACACTGAGAACTGAAAACTATAGTCCCATGTATGCTAAGAGTACATACTCTATATTCCCAGGCCTCAGAGTGATCTTGCAAAGGCTGCTTGCTGAGTCTGTACAGCACTCTCTGAGCTGACACAGCTGGCTGGGTTCTCAGCATGGCCAGTGTAGTGTGGATTCTATTCCAGCAACTCCAATGTAGGCAATAATACACACAATGGAACCTTAAGAATCTGATCTTGGCTAAGTTATTTAAGTGCTTCAAGCCTTGATTTCCATAAAAAGATACTGAAACCAGGCTTGGTAGTGTATGCCTACAATTCTAGCCCTCAGGAGGTAGAAGCAGGAAAATTAGGAGTTCAAAGTCAGACTGGGCTACATACTGAATACAAGGCAAGGGCAACCTGGACTTCCCTTAAAACAAACAAACAAACAAAAAAAACCAATCAAGCAAAAAACCAAAAGTTGAGAATTGAATGAGATAGAAATCAAGCTACAAGCCAAAAGTACTCCTACACCGATGAAAAAGCTAAGAGGTTATGGATAGTCATAGTGTAACATACTGGCAGTTGGATTACAAGGACTGCAGACTAGCCTGGGCTACACAGTGATACCCTGTAATTAAACCAACCATTAGTTTATCTGAAAGAAACAAAGTTTAAGGCAGAGTTGGGCTGGAGAAATAGATGGCTCAGCTTGGTAAACCATAATAAGCCCAAGTTCAAATCCACATAGAAGATAACTGACTCCCAAGAAAGTTGTCCTCCAACCTCCACACACACAGTGACATACAAAACAAGTTAAAGTATTTAAAAGAAAAAAATCTTGGGAGAACTAGGTTACCCATAAAGCTGATATGGGAAAATGCTCCCTAATTCTTACAGGAACTAAAACCTATTGGACTTGCTACATGCAATCTGCCTCTAAGTTATCCGTGTTGACCCTAGGAGCCACACCAGATGCTGGACTGTTTATTATTTCAGTACTGGGATAAAACCCAGCACCTTAGGTGTCATAGGGAAGACCTTTATCACTGAGCTGTGCTCCTGGCCTCTCACTAGGGGTCCTAGGTCTAAGGCTGAGTCATGCCCCCAGCCTCTAAATGTTGCTTTGGGATCCCTGCCTTCTTCAGTTTTGGCACTGACAGAACTACCTTTCTTCTTTGGCCTCCCTGGAAAAATCTTACACTGCCATCCTTGAACAGCTCATCACAAGTGGGGGTAGGTGGGAGGTAGCTCAGGGGTACAGCACTTGCACAAGACCTTGGGTTCCACATAGCCAGCACCAAACCAGGGTAGGAATTGGGGGAAGGGAGAAAGAGACCTGTACATTCCAATGCTGAGACTGAGGCAGAAGAATCCAAGAGTTCAAGGCCAGCCTGGACTACAATAAAAACCTGTATCAAAACAAACAAATCCACCACAATGGGCCCCCTACCCTAAGAGTTCCAGATCCCCACCTTCCATCCCCTCAAAAGAACAAAACCAAACCAAAAAGCAGGACCATCCTTGTTCCCTTTATAGTATTGACTCTTCTGCGAAATTTAATACACTGTATTATTTCGCTTGCATTTTCAGATGCTTACAATTCAGATCTACAGTGTAGAGGGGCACTTTTACATGCTTCTCATTTACTGAACGAACTAAAAGGGAGCTTATCAATAATAGGTAAGCGTTCAGTGAACGTTCCTGTCCGTCAGAGTTGGCCGAAGAGCATTTGCAAATGACCCCATTTTCCAACAACGTGACCGCACTGCAAACTTCGGGAGTTAACTAAGTTTTCATAGCAGCCCCGGGAACGGGGAGGGTGTGGTGGGTGTCCCAGGAAAAGTCACCTCCAACCTAGGAGCGTAGCACCCAGGTTCCAAAGATTCCTGCCCCCCGGGAGTGTAACCAACCCGGAACGTGCAAGCCGATGTCTGCACCGGAGGTTTATCTCACAACCGGGCAAAATGAGGTTCATGAGTCTCCAGGGTCCTCGCACCACGCGGCGGCCGGGGGTAAAGTCCTCACAGAGTCACCGCAACCCGGTCCGGTATACTTACACACGGGCTGGCTAATTTTGTCCTCCTCGGCCCGCAGCCAGCCTCGGGCCACCGCCGCCGTGGCCACTAGGGCCAGCAGCCCCACCAGCAGGGACAGCCCCACGAGCTCCGGCATCTGCGGCAGCTCCATGTCTGTAGGACTGCTGCCACCTCAGCCTACGACGCCGGCGTCCTCACGTCTCGGCGCACGAGGGGCGGGGGAGGACAGTTGGCGCGCCTCGAGGGGCGGGACCGGCCGGTGTTGAGCTCTTTGGGGCGTGGCCTGGCCCTGAGCGTGCCTCGGGAGGCGGGGCCTAACCGTTACAGTGTCCTATGAGAAGGGGCCTGGCAGTTGGAGCGCTTGGCAGGGCGGAGCTTGTCCGCCTGTGCGCCTCGAGGGCGGGGCCATGCCGTTAGCGGGTTCTGAGGCGGGCCCGGGCCGGTTGGAGCCTGAGGGGCGGGGCTTAGCTGCCCTGCGCTCAGGGGGCGGGGCCTAGCCGGTTTGAGTGAACAGCTTCACGTGCCCTGAGGGGTGGGACCTGGAATTTTGAGCGCGTAAGTGTCCTGAGAGGCGGGGCTTAGCGATTGACATGAAGAGGCAAGGCCTGGCGATTGGACTATTAGGCGGGGCCTGACGATTAACTGATTTGATCGAAGCTGGGTCTGCCAGTTTTGTTCTGGCTTCAGACTCCATCCTTCATGCTCTCACCGCCTCTTGATCGTTTATCAAAAGCATCGTCGCCACACTGGATCCTTCCAAGGGACAGGACAGAGGTTCTTATTCCCACTTTACCTATTGCTGCTTCTGGGGAAGACAAAGCCCCTACTGTTGCTGTTCAGAGACCTGAACAGCAAGGGTGTTGTGAAGAGGCAACAGTATGAGCATTAGAAAAGAAAGGGCTAGTAAGGTCGGGAAGATCTGGATACCCTTGAGTGTTGACTTCATTCCAGCACACTGGTTATCATATCATAGGTGTCAGGGAGCAAAATCCATTCATGGAGTATTTTGCATTAATACTGAAGTTAGAAAGCGAGCCAGGTAGAGCAGTTGCCTAGTTTGTACAAGCTTTGGGTTCGATCCCCAGCACTGAAAAGAATAACAAAACCAAAATATGTGTGTTGGGGCTGGGGATGAAGCTCTGTCTGTTGGCTGGGTGTTTCCCAAGCTTGTAAGAAGCTGAGTTCTTCAGCACCCCGTGAGCCTGTAATCCCACACTAAGGAGCTGAAGGCAGGAAGATCAGAAATTCAGGGTCTTCTTAGACTACTACACAGAGAGTTCCAGGGCATCTTGAGCTTTTAAAAAAAAAAAAAAAAAAAAAGCCAATTGGAAGTCCTTGCAAAAAATCCTCCAGGGAGTGGATAAATGCCTGGATTTGGGGGTAGCCTGAAGAGTGGTGGAAAGGATGTTGAAAAGGAGATACTAATCTAATATTATGATGATGATAATGATGGCTTTTTTGACACAGGGTTTCTGTGTATTACGGCTCTAGATATACTGGAACTCACTTTGCAGACCAGGCTGGCCTCGAACTCACAGAGCACAACGGGATCAAGGGTGTCACCATCACACGGCTAATTTATTAATATTATTTGGCCATGATAGAGATCAAATCTGGAAATTCGCCATGCTAAACAGCGCTACAATTGAAGTTGCTATCTAGTCCCTAGAAGAGAGATTCTTTTCCTTCATTCTTTTTGGGGGGGGGTGTTCTAGTCATGGTGACATATTTTTTTTTAATATCCCAGCACTTGCAAAGAGGCAGGTGAATTTCTATTGAGTTCAAGGCCAGCCTGGTCTACTCAACAACTTTCAGGCCAGAGAATGCTGTATAGTAATACTCTATTGTTATTATTATTATTATATATGTGTGTTGTCATACATGGGTGTTTGTGTGTTCGAATATGTTTGAGTACGTGTGTGCATTTGTGTGAAGGCCAGATGTTGATGTCTGTTGGTTTCCACAATTGCTCTCCACCTTATATACCCAGTACTGGAGCAGAGTACATCTGTAGCATACACTTTTGGCTATTCTGGCTAAACCAATTTACTACAGGCATTCTTCTCTCCCTCATTTATGCTGGGATTACAAACAGGCTGACATGACACACCTACCCAGTGTTTAGATTGATTTCTCATAGCCTAACTCCAATGTCCATACAAAGTAAATGCTTTACCCACTAAAACATCTCAGCCGGAAAAGAACTTTGTTGTTTCCTAAAACAGAGTCTCAATATTGTAGCCCACACTGGCCTTAAACGTGTGGCAGCCCTCCTGCCTCAACCTTCTAAATACTAGGATTACAAGAGTTTTTTGGTTTGGTTTTAATATGGGGGTGGTGAGACAGGGTCACTGTGTAACTCTAGGTGGGCTGGAATTCACTTTGTAGGTCAGACTGGCCTTGAAGAATCAATCCTTCTGCTTCAGCCTCCCAAGTACTGTGAATGTACTGTTACTAAGCACATTGGGGTTTTGTTGTTTTTTTTTATTTGTTTGTTTTTTGAGACAGGGTTTCTCTGTGTAATACTCCTGGCTGTCCTGGAACTCACTCAGTAGACCAGGTTAACTTTGAATTCACTGAGATCAGCCTGCCTCTGCCTCCCAAGTACAGTGATTAAAGCATGTGCCACCACTGTCCAGCTAAGCACATTGTTTCAAAATGAATTTTTAAAAAAATTACAGTCCTAGAGAGATGGCTCAGAGGTTAAGAGCACTGGCTGTTCTTGCAGAGAACCTGTGTTCAATTTCCAGCAATCACAAAGTGGCTCACAGCCAGCTATAATGAAATCTGCTGCCCTCTTCCTCTTCCAGCCTACAGGGACACATGCAGACAGAATACTGTATACATAATCAGCAAATCTTTTTTTAAAAATTACAGATTTACAAGGCACTGAAAGAAAAATGAACCTCCAAGCATGGTGGCACTTACCTGTAATCCCAACACTCAAGAGGTAAAGGAGGGAGGATCCAGAATTCAATACCATCCAAAATGGCCAAGGAGATAAGGGCACTTGCCTTCAAGCCTGAGTCCTAGGCCTCAGAAGACAAAAGAAGAGAACTCCCACAGACTGTCCTCTGACCTCACTCAAGCATTGTGGTGTGCATATACCACCCCTTGACACACAAACAAATGAGTAAGTGTACTTTTTAAAAATTTATTTTTAGTGCATTGATGCTTCTTTGTCTACATGTATGTCTGTGTGAGGGTGTCAGGTCCCCTGGGACTGGAGTTACAGTCACTTGTAAACTGCCATGTGGGTGCTGGGAACTGAAGCCCGATCCTCTGGAAGAGCAGCCAGTGCTCTTAACCTCTGAGCCATCTCTCCAACCCCAAGTAATTGTAATTTTTCAAAAGTACCCTTTGGGCTGGAGAGAGGGCTCAGCGGTTAAGAGCATTGACTGTTCTTCATAGGTCCTGAGTTCAATTCCCAGGAACCACATGGTGGCTCACAACCATTTATAATGAGATCTGGTGCCCTCTTCTGGCATGCACTCAAACATGGAGACAACACTATACTTAACAAAAATAAATAAATGAAAGAAAAGGTAGCCTCTAGAGAACAATGGACAGTGCATTCTATGGACATTTCCACTAATTTCCTTCCATATCTTGCATAGCCACACATAATCAGGGGCTTGGCATTGATATAGGTCACAGATTTCACCAAAACCCAAGACATATCCTGAAAGATAACATTTGGATTAGACCTGCTTCATTGGGGGAAAAAATGTTCCTAGAACTGGCATGTCTATCCGACCTCCACTAATGTGCCTGGCCTCACAGTTTCAGCCCTGTTGCCATACTTACAAGGATCCTTTAATGACACAGGCAAAGACAGAAGCCGAGAGACATAGACAGACAGACACACTGGCTATCTTCAGTGAGGAACTATGTTCAGTCAGAGAGCAGAGGGGGACAGGGCTCATTTCCTTCCCTTTTGCCCTTTTCGGGGAACTGGCATCAGTTCAGGGCAGCGGGGTGGAGGGTGCTGGCCTCTCTGCCATCTACAAAAGAAAGCTGTCTGGGTTTTGGTTTGTTTGTTGTGCTGTTTAGTTTTTTGTCAACTTGGAACAAATGAGTCACCTGGGAAAAGGGTGACTAGTTGAGGAATTGAGGCCATCAGACTACCCCGTAGGCACGCCATTGAGGCATTTTCTTGATGACTGGCTGGGGGTGGGTGGGCACAATGCAGGTGGCTCCTATCCTGAGCATATGGGTCTAGGCTGTATATGCTAGCTGAACAAGGCAGTAAGCAGCATCCCTCCATGGCTTCGGCTTCAGATCCAGCTCCCAGAGCTCCTGCCTTGGCTCAGTGATGGACTGGGACATGGACGTATAAGCCACATAAACCCTTTCCCCTCAAAGTTGCTTTTGGTCTTTGATTGATCAAGCAATAGAGAGGCAAACTAGGATATTTGGTTTGATGTGATTCTCTGAGACAGGATCTCAGTATCTATGCTGGCCTCAAACTCATCACTCTCCTGTCTCAGCCTTTCTGTGCTGGAATCACAAGCATCATTTTTTTTTTTTTTTTGTATGTTTTGATTTTTGTGACAGGGTTTCTCTATGTAGTCCTGGCTGTCCTGGAACTCACCTTGTAGACCAGGCTGACCTCGAACTCACAGAGATCTGCCTGCCTCTGCCTCTCCAGTGCTGGGATTATACCACCTGGCTGAAAGTTTCACTTTAAAGAAGCATTTCAGGGCTTGGGTGATGGCCTGGTCAGTGAAGTGTCCAGTGAATGAAATGAATTTGGTGTGTGTGTGTTGTATGCACATGTTCACGTTCATGTGGGTCTGTGCACATTTGTATAGTTACTTGTACAGGCAAGGAGTTGACATCAGGTGTCTTTCTCAATCTCCAACTTTCCCCAGGGCACTTTTTCATGAAGTTTTTACTATTCTGGGTCCACAAGCACAAAGTTTGAGTTCAGTTCCTCAGCACCAACGTAAAAGCTAGGCACGGTACTGTGCATACACAACCCCAGCATTGGAGACAGGAAGATCCCTGAGACTCTCTAGTGAACCAGTCTTGCTGAATTAGCCAGCTCCAGGTTCAGGGAGAGACCCTATTACAAAAATAAGCTGTATTTTTGCTAAGGGTCATACTGAGCTCACTCTACCCCAAGGGACCACCTTTAAGACTCAGCACCAGGACTGAAGACGTCCAGACTAAGCAGCTACCAGACTGCCCCTTTGGGCAGCCACTTCCCAACCAGAACCAGACCAGAAACTGCTGACATAAGATCTGGCTTGGCTCCATATTGTCTCTACTCTGTCTTTTTGTCCTTCTCCTCAGATTGTAAAGAGGGACCTGGGTACATGATAGTCCCTATCCTGGGACCCAGAATCATAACACAACTACTAATAAAAACACACTGGAAAAATAGAAGAGATCGATCAAGAAAGACAACTGATGTCAACTTCTTGCCTCTATATGCACCTATACAAACGTGTACAAACCCACATGTGCACACACCACATACATGCACACACATTTCATTCACCAAGCCTTGTTCATATATTTTTTGGTTTTTTTTTTGTTCATGTATTTAAAACATTTTTAAATCATATTTTTAAAAATCATATTCATCATGTGTACACATACTCTGGTATTCTCCTGAAGGCCAGAATATAACATATGAGATGGGAGCTGGCCCTTTTTCTCTACCACTTGGGTCTAAGAGATAGGATTTAGTTTGTCAGACTTGGCAGCAAGACCCATAATGAGCAGAGCCATCTTGCTGACCTCAGAAACTATATTTGCTTCATTTAATCTTCCTACAGGTGTCATCTCAAGTTTAGGAGACAAACTCTAGGACCTGGTTAAGGGACTGGAGAGATGGCTCAGTGGTTAAAAGTACTGGCTGCTCTTCCAGAGGACCCGGGATCAATTCCCAGCACCCACATAACAGGTCACAACAGTCTGTAATTCCTGTTCCATTGGTGTGCAGGCAACACAGCAATGTATAGAAAATAAACTATTTTTAAAAAGTAGAAACACTTAGAAATGGGGTCCGGATCATGGTGTATGTTGCTAGGGGCAGATATTTGACAGTTAGATTGTGGCCCTGAATCCAGCCTCTCTGCTTCCTAGTCAGCCAAGATGCAAAGAAGCTCAGCTACACATGTCTGCAGCTGTCCCTTCTCCACTACAGACTGCAATCATCTGAAACCATAAGCACAAACAAATCTTTCCTCAAGTTTTCCCTGTCAGGTCTTGTGGTCACAGTGATGCACAGGTAACTAACACAGTCAACAAGGAAGAAGGAGAGAGAGAGCCCAGTAACAACCCCTGGTGGGCCACACTCCAAGATCGGTCTTCTAAGCACGGTGAGGAGGAAGGCTTTGGACAGCCATCTCTTGCCCTCGCGGGTACACAGCCCAGCTTGAAGCCAGTGTCAGTGTGCAGAAGGACAACGGGCACAAAGCAGGTTTCAGGCGAGTGGGGTGGATCATAGAGGGGGTGGATAGGATGCAGAGTCCCAGCTGTACCTTCAGGGGTGGACGATGAGACGGGTGGAGCACAACGCGTTGCTTTCCTATTGCTGTGACAAAACACCAGGACCAAGGGCAACTTATAAGAGAAAGCGTTTAATTGAGTTTTAGAGTTAGTTGGCAGAGCAAGGGCAGGGACAGCGGAGAGTTCACATCAGTCAGCCAGTAGGAGGCAGAGAGAGAACACACTGGCAACAGAGGGAATGAGTCTTTTTAAACCTCAAAGCCCACCCCCAGTGACATGTCTCCTTCGGCTAGGTCACACCTGATTCTTCCCAAAGGGTTCCACCAACTGAGGACCAAGTGTGCAAACATAGGGGCCCATGCAGGCAGGCATTCTCATGCAAACCACCACAGAGCAAGCACTGGGGTTTGAACGGATCATTGAATATGTGTGCAGACCATGTTTATGCCCACAGAGAGCTGAACAGGGCATCCGATCTGCAGCAGCTGGAGTTATGGGCAGTTGGGAGCCTTCCAAAGTGGGTGCTGGGATCAATTCTGATGTTCTCAAGAGCAGTATTGTGTTTTTAATTGCTGAGCCAGCTTTCTAACCTTACCTTTTTAATTTTATTTTTTTTTTGAGACAGAGTCCTACTGTGTAGCTGTGGCTGGCCTGGGAGTTACTGTGTAGATCAGGCTGAACTTGAACTCACAGAGATCTGCCTCCCAAAGAACTGGGATTACACATGTGTGCCAACATGCCAAGTGTAAGCTGTAGTCTAATAAGCTCACTAGCTGGTTGTAATGCATGGTACAGTTTCATCTGTAATTGTTTAGTTTGTGTAGTACTAGGAATTAAGCCTAGGGCCTTGCATATGCTAGGTAAGCTACCACCAATCTACCACTATCATCTTCCCCAGCCCCTCACTGGGGAGTCTAGGAAAGTGATCTCCCACTAAGCCATGGTCCCAAGTTCTCACTGGGAAACTCTAGGCAAGTGCTCTAGCACTGAGCTTCATTCCTAGCTCCATCCTACAGTAGCTTTGGAGCCTGCCCTGGAACTTACTCTGTAGACCAGGCTGCCTTTGAACTCACAGAGATCCTCCTGCCTCTGCCTCCCAAGTTCTGGGACTAAAGGAGTGTGCCACCACTGCCCAGTTCAACACTTCTTAAAATTTATTCGTGTATTCATTAGCAGTTGTGGATTGAACCTAGGGCTTCAAGGACTCAAGGTAAGAACTCTCTATACTGAGTTACAGCCCCAGTTTGTGTGTGTGTGGTTGTGTGTTTGTTTGTTTGTTTGCTTTGTCTGAGACAGGATCTCACTATGTAGCTCATTTGTAGCTCTCTATATAGATCAGGCTGGCCTTACACTGACAGAGAGCACCTGCTTCTGCTTGGACTTCCCCAGACTCTTAAATCTTCAGAACAAGTGAAGGAGAAACCCCTCTGAAATCTCAGCACTTAGGAAGTGGAAGCAAGATCAGGCTTAAAGGTCAGCCCCAGTTATTTACTGCATTTATGCTATGCTGAGGCCCAGGCATGGTGGAGCGTGGTTTCAACCCCAGCCCTGGGGAGACAGAGACAGGGGTATCCCTGAGTTAGATACCAGCCTGGTCCCAGGATGGCTAGCACTATAGAGAGACTCTGCCTCAAAAAAAGTAAAAGTAAAAAGAAAGAGGGAAAAACAGACCATGCTGGAATATGTGAGATTCTATCTCAAAAAAAAAAAAAAAAAAAAAAAAAAAAAAAGAGAGAGAGAGAGAGAGAGAAAGAAAGAAAAAGAAAAGTTTCCCTTGGACCTGGGCTCATTGGCACAGTCCCACCACACCAACTGAAGACAGGAGGATTTCCTATTCGAGGCCCTGGATCCCATCCTCAATACATCTGTCTGGGTATAGTGGCACACACATGTGATCTCAGCAGGAAGCTGGAGATCAGCCTAAGGATACACAGCTGGACCCCATATTGAGGAGACAATTCCCTGTTAAGAGACGGAACTGCTCTTGCAGTCCTGAGTTGGTTCCCAGCCCTCACATGTGGCAACTCACAACACCCAGGGACTCCACCTCCAGGAGAAACCAGGCCCTCTTCTGGCCTCCACAGTCACCTGCACTCACATACGAATACAGACTTGACAGACATACTTCAAAATAAAATGAAATAAAAACCTTCCCCCCGAAAGGGAAAAAGACAAACTTGCACTTGAGTTTTGTCTTATCTTCACCCAAACCTGCCAGTAGCTCCCACCTCTCAATGAGAGCAAAGGTGGCGGGCTGGGGAGATGGCTTTGTAGGCACAGTGCTTAGTGTATAAACATGGGACCTGAGTTCAGAGCCGCAGAACCCATGCAAAATCCAGCAGGGGCAACCCCATTGCTAGGGTGGCAGAGACAGGTAGATCTCAGGGGCTTATTGCCCCTCCTACCCCTGGCCAAGCCAAAATGGAGAGTTCAGTGAAGGATTCTGTCTCAAAGAATAAGGCAGAGGCTGGTGAGACGGCTTGGCTAGCAAAGGCACTTGCTGCCAGTGTTGATGACCTGAGTTGTTTACTCCCCTAACCTGCATGATGGAAGGAATGTGTGTGTGTGCACACATAAATAAATGTAATTTAAAATATTTTTGGGCAGAGGCAGGAGGATTTTTATGAGGTCGAAACCAGCCTGGTCTACATAGCAAGTCCCAGAACATCCAAGACTATAGAGAGACCCTGTCTCAAAAAACAAACAAACAAACGACTGGGCAATGTAACACATGCTTTTAATCCTAGCACTCAGGAGGCAGAAAGTTTGAAGCCAGCCTAGTATATAGAGCTCATTCCAGGACAGATAGGGCTGTTAACACAGAGAAACCCTGTACCAAAAAACTGAGAAAAATAATACATATATGTAACTGCGTGTGTGTGTGTGTGTGTGTGTGTGTGTAAGGAGACTAGGTTTCACTGGCTGACCTGGAACTCACTATATAAACTAGGCTGGTCTCACTCATAAAAATCCACCTGCCTTTGCCTATCAAGTGCTGGGAATAAAGGTGTGCATCACTATGCCCAATCCTAAAACACATTTTGAAACATTTTAAAAAGAAGGAGAGCAATGGGGAAGATCCCCAAATCAGCCTCTGGCCTCCATGCACAAGCAAAGTTGAGTGCCTCTGCACACAAGCAAATGTAAAAGCACACAAACGTTGTCTTATGACCCACAGGGTCTCATATAAAGACACCTTTTGCTGCTACCAGCTCTCTGTGTTCCACAGTGACATGCTGCCATCACACCAACACCCTTGCAAACATTTTTGCTTTTATTGTTCAAGAATATTTTTATAAAATCCACATATGCACACACACATCTACATATATGCAAGATGTCTGCCCTGCCCCCCCAGCCTCACCTCCCCTCCCCCCCCCCCCCCGTTGCCCCTTGTCCTGATCTCTCCTGGCATCAGACTTCAGTGGTCACCCAGGAAGTCACCCTGCAGCTCCCCATGTCGCCAGTGCAGGGGCAAAGAGAGATCTCCTGTTCCACCTCCCTTCTGAGCAGCTAAGGGTAGTGCCCTTTGTCCAAAGCAGGTAGTCATAAGGAAACGCTTGACCTCACCTCTCCTCAGAGCTCCTTGAATGGCCTGCTTAGGCCCCCAGTGTTACAGTTGCTAATGCCTTTGGGGTCCTCTGTTATTAAATGGAGGTCCAAAGATGGAGTATGAGTCACCGGGGATCACAGCATTAGTGCAGTGCAGGGATGGGAACCAGGTTCTCCTCCGTCCACAGGAGATGGCCAGTGTAAAACCTGGAGTCTGTTTCACTCAGGGGAAGGGCCAACCAAGGATCAAGAGGGGAGTGCCCACGAGTTGTCCCTGGAGCTTGGGAGCCTTCACCAGGTTTAAAATGGTCTGCCCAGGGTGCCCTCTGTGACTGCCCTTGTCGCTTGCTCAGGCACACGACTTGGGTCGGTCAGGATGCTGGTGGATGTGCTGAGCTGGCGAAGGGAATTCAGGACAGCTGGAAGAAGAGGGTAAGATGCCTTTAAAGTTAGGGATGAAGTCAAGAACTTGGGAGAGATAGTAGTTAGCTAAATAGGTGGCCCTTCCCAGGACCTCTTTCTTTAGGTGGTTTAGAGACTAAAGGACCATTCAGGGTGTGATACGGTAGAATGACCTCAAACCCTAGGCTGTATTCAAGACAAACTAGACTTGGGGACTAAGCAGGCTGGGTTTGAACTCTCTGTTCTGAAGGCCCGCAAGTATCTGTATGTGTTACTGGAAATTGAACTCAGGGTCTTGTGCATGATGAAAGTGATCTTCTGCTGAGTCACACCCCCAGGCCCTCACTGGGGAATTTTAGGCTGGTGATCAACCACTGAGCCACACCCCAAATCCTCACTGGGGGATTCTAGACAGGTGCTCTACCACTGAGCCACACCCCAGCCCCTCACTGGAGGATTCTAGGCAGGTGTTCTGCAAGGCCTCACACATTTCTGGGCAAGAAGGTGGCTCACATACTTGGCCGGAGAGCAGGCAGGGAACAGTACTGGTCCAACCAAGCCAGTGAGGTCTGGCGGAGGCTATGTAAGCTTGCGGTAGACACCATCCCATTGAAGGACTCAAACAAAGGCCGGATGAGGATGCTGAACTGGGTTTAGAGTCAAGGAACACATCAGTGGTCCAGACAGCAGCCCATCATCTCATACAGCTACAATACCTGATCCAAGCCAGTGCCAAGAAAAACCTGTCACTGTCTAACCATGACCCCTATGGAGAGACACTCTGCTCCAATCCCTCCCTGATAAAGGTTGTTCATTCATCTCTCTCTCAGTCCCTCCCCTTAGTCCCTCCAGGGCCCTCAGTCTGAATTAGTCCATCCCACATCTCTAGGCTCAGTCACTTAAATACTGGCCTGGTGGCCAGCTATTCAGAGGCTGAGGCAGGAGGATCACAAATTCAAGGCTACTCTGGCCAACTCAGTGAAATTGGTCTCAAAAAGGTAAAAGAGGGTTGGGACAGAGCTCCGGTTCAGTCTCTGTATGGGCAATCAAACACAACACTAGATCCGGGGAGAGTGGCTGCTCTGCCTTTTCTAGGCCTCACATGACTTGGACTTTAGATACTTCCAGACTGCCTTCAGGGACCTCTCCCAGCCACCTGTCCCTGCTCTCCCTCCTTCTCAGTTCCAGGTTCTAGTTGACATACATTCTTGAAACCCTAGGCCCTGACAACAGAAGGTAGAACCAAAGCCTATTCCCTGGGGTCCTACAGCTCAGCCTGTGGTACAATACACAACCTGTTCTGTCTGTAGCAACAGCAGCCATCACTACCCTCAGGCCATCAGCCCAAGTAAGGATACTACCCAGAACTTCCAGTTGTGCAATGTGCGGGTCCGGACATAGTCATCAAACATGTCCCGCATCTGGTCAAAGCGCTGATGTGTGATGGGCACCCCAGTGGCTGGTAGCTGCTGCTGGCACAAGCTATGGATGGAAAGAGTCAGGGTTTCTCTGTGTAGCCTTGGCTGTCCTGGAACTCACTTTGTAGACCAGGCTGGCCTTGAACTCAGAGTGCTGAGATTAAAGACATACACCATTACTACCAGCCTTGTTGTTTTTTAAGGTGCTGGAGATGGAATCTAGTTCTTGTATATGCTATGCCAGTACCCTACCACAAACCACATCTCATCCCTCACAGGAGGATTCTAGGCAGTTTGGTCCACCACTGAGCTGCCACACACCCAACCCTGTACCGGTAGATTTTTTTTTTAGGAAAGTACTTTATCTCTGAGCCACGCCCCCAGCCTCTCACTGCAAAATTCCAGGCAGTCGCAGTACTGAGTTTCACTCTGCTTACTTGATGGCAGCATTGAGTTCCTCTATCTCATCCCGCAGCTGCTGTGCCTCCTCCTGCATGGCTGCCCGTTCCTGCTGCAGCATCAGGATATACTCGGCAGTCTTCTGCAGCGTTGTTGCTTTGCTCACCTGCGAGCGCCACCAGTGTGGGCCTCTGTGCTGGCAGGCCCTGGGATCTGGTGTTGGGTGTTGGTCCAAGGAGGGGCTCCATGACTCTAAGGGAGTGTGCATCTCTGGCTGGGGGCTCACCTTGAGGCTGGGCTGAGCACTGAGTGTGCTCACAAGTCCATGAAGGGTGTCAAATCCTAGCTTAATATTGAAACGCCTCTTCTGCTCCGCGGAGATGTGTGTGATGCGTCGGTTCTCCATCTTGGAAAGCAGAAAGTGAGATGAGTCTAAGGAAAGCTGGGGTAAGGTTGGTAGCAGTTGCTTCTTGGGGGTCAGGAGACAGAACATACCTTGTTGTTGTCTACACGACCCCGGCTTAGGATAGGTTGAGGGGGAGACAGGTGGACACTCAGTGCCCCCGGGGGTGGTATGGAGTTGAGATCCCCTGATAATCGACGCTCACTGCCTGTGGCAGGGACAGACCCACAGACAGACCAACACAAGGGAGAAGGTCCCCTTGCCCGATCCCTGTCATCCTGACCCCAATCACAACCCTTTCATCTTTCCTCTCCCAATTCCTCTAAGATCCACAATCCCTCTAGCCCCTATTTACCGCTGGGTGCTGGGGGTGACAGCCGCTCTGCTTTGGGGATGATCAGAGACCTGGGAGGGGCCAATGTGGCTGGGCCTGGAGGTGGCTGAGGTGGTGTAGGGGCCAGGATTGGGGGAAAGAGGGCACGGGAACGGAGGAGTTCAGAGACCGTATCCTGCTGGGATGGAGAAGGGCAGAGAGTTGGAGAGTTGGGGGGAGGGGAGGTAAAGGCCCTAAACTGACCCTTACATCCCAGTGCCCACCATCTTACCGGGGACTCTGGGGGCCGGAGGAGGGTGCTGGGCACAGTCGGAGGTTCCAATGCTTGCTCAGGCTTGGCTGGGTACAGGCAGGACTATGAGGGCCACTAGACTGGCCCAATCAAGTCCATCACCAATTAAGACTCCTTCTTGTTCCCCAGGCGCCCACACACCCCTATCCGATATAGCTCACGTCCCTAATGTCATCCCACCCTCTCTCTGACCCCCAGGCCCCACCCTAAAACCCAAGCCTTCTGCCCTAGTAGCCTGCCTATTCCTTTCAGAGTGGATCCCTCCCAGCTACTTGTCCACTTGCCTCCCCCATCTCACCTGCTCTGAGAAGCTGTGTAAGGCAGGGGTTGTTGTCTCTGGCAGTGGGGCTGGCAGTGGTAGGGGCCAAGGTTGGGGGACTGGCTTTCCGTCCACCAGGGGACGGGGTGGAGGGCTTGCATCTGGGCTGCATATCCTGAGGCATGGTGAAGTGAGGCCTAAAGACAGGTTCTGGGTACCCATGGGGCAGATGGTCTACAGGGAAAGGGGCAGCGCCAGGGCCAGGCTGTGGGGCGGGAACAAAGGTGGTGGGGGTAGGAAGTGTAGGCACTCCTGGAGCAGGCGGGACTGTGGTGAAGGGGAGCCTGGCAGCGAAGAAGGGCTCTTCCGGCAACAAAGTGGGAGGTGGAGCCATTGTAGGGAAGGGAGCTGGGGTGCAGGGCTCTAAGCCCTGTGCCTTGACAGGGGTAGGATATGGAAGGAGAGGAGTTGGCACAGGAGCAGGTGGGATCTTGGTCTTTGGGTCTTCAGGAAGAAGGAAGTCAGAGCTCAGAAAGGAACTGGGGTCCAAGGGTCCAGGGCAGCTGTTCCGAACCTAGGTGAGGAGCAGGGGTGAAGAGATGATGAGAGAGCAGGGGAGGGACCTGCCTGCATCCACCAGGAAGCTCTGTCCTCGCTACGCACTGGACAGAGGAGAACTGATCCATAGACATGCACACACATGTATACACTCAGGCATACATGTACACCCTGGAAATTATAATCTAATGCACAACTGTAACCTACTATAAACTTTATGCACAAATTAGACATGGCGCATCAGTCTTATTGATTTGTGATCCATTCACCCACCAAATAATTTACCCAATATAGCTATTAATCTAGTCTTCATTTATCTATCCATCTATCCACTAATATTTCACCAGTCTATCCTTCCATTTATCTACCCTTCATCCATCAAAACATTAACTCACTCACCAATCCTCTTATTTGTTCATTATTTGCTCATCTATCCATAGATTCCACCATCCATCCATCCAACCATCAGTCTACCTGTCCACTCCCACTAACTTGCCCATTAGTCTAATATATTATCCATCCACCCACCTGTCCATTCCATTCATCTTTTGCATCCATTTACCTATTTATTCTCTCACCTATGAACTCACCCATCTCTCTATTTCAACCCCAGACGTGATGGCTAAGCTGGATTGATAGAACTAAGGGTTACCTAGAGGTGAGGTAGGTACACTGGTGCTTTACTGAGGGCATTTCCAGAGTGAATAAACTAGGGGTGGGGGTGTGCTGACTAAATTCCATGGCCAACTTGATTCAATTAAGATATGGGTAGTACGACAGGTGGTGGCACATGACTTTAATCCCTGCCCTTGGGAGGCAGAGGCAGACAAAGCTCAGTGAGTTGGAGGCCAGTCTGGTCTACAACACAAGTTCCAGGACAGCCAGGACTGTTACAAAGAGAAACCTTGTCTCAACCTCCCCTTTACCCCCAAAAAAGACATGGGTAGTGCATTAGTGAAACACACCTCTTAGGTATGTGTCTGAGTATGTTTCCAGAGAGGGTCCATTGAGAAAGAAGACTCAGCCTGGGTGTGGGCAGAACCATTCCATGGGGGTGGGATCCCAGACTGGGTAAAAAAAGAATGGGCCAGCACGATGGCCCAGAAACTTAAAGCACTTGCCTCCAAGCTTGATGAGTTGGGTTTGACCCCAGGAACTCACATGAAGGAAGGAGAGAACCAACTCCTGAAAGTTATTCTCTGACCTCCACATGGGCACCCCCCACACACACTCACTTGTGAACACGCACAAAATAAATGAAAAGGAGTAAGTAAGGGGGACTGGTAAAAGACTTACCACCAAGCCTTGAGTCCCTGGGACCACATGGTAATGGTACAAGGAGAGAACTGCTTCCCTGTACATCATGCCTGTACACACACACACACACACACACACACACACACACACACACACACACACACACACCATCAGATAGAAATAAGCATGCTGGCTCAGCATCAGCGTTCTCCTCTCTGCTCCCTGACACAGTGCAACCAGCTGCCTCTTCCTGCCGCTGTCACGCCTTCTCATCGTGATTCAAAAGAAACCTTTTGTGCTGGGCATTGATGGCACACACCTTTAATCCCAGCACTTGGGAGGCAGAGGCAGGCTGAGGCAGAGGCAGGTGGATCTCTGTGAGTTCGAGACCAGCCTGGTCTACCAGAGCTAGTTCCAGGACAGCCTCCAAAGCCACAGAGAAAGAAATCTTTCCTTAAGCTGCTTTGGGACAAAGTAACTAATATGCAAGGTATGAGATCGGGGGACAAGACACCACACACCATGAATGTAAGTTCATAGTCTGGGAGCCCAGATGGAATAAGGCAGGTGGGGGCTGAAGTCACCTAGTGAAGGCATTCTTCCTCCCCAGCACCCACCTCTCTGTCTTTGTTTCCTAGCTTCTCTGCTCCGTTTCACCTCTTCCCCCCATGATAGACTCAAGCCTCTGGAACCATAAGCAAAACAAGTGTTTCCTGAGGTTGTTTTCCCAGGCGTAGCAGTGATGAAAGACCGGCTACTGCTCTAGCCCACAGGTAGTCAGCCATTTACCAACAGATCCAACCATCTGAACTCTCTATTCTCCCATCAAGCCATCCATACTCCATTTGTATAGTCATCTGACATCTGTACATTCACCAACCACTAATATAACAAGTCATTCGTCCATTCACAAAGCCATGCGGCACCAGCCCATGCACTCTCTAGTTCATTCAATCAATCTACCAAACTATTTATGTAGGAATCCACTCATCAGCCCCACTACTCACCAGACCATTTTACTTTACATTCACTTACCCACACGTGCAGGCACCACTGTCTACAATGATCTTTGCATTTACTGCTGCATATGTCTGTCTGGGCTCTCATTCATTCACTCACCGGGCAACCATTTATTGGATGACACTGTGTGTGGAAACCACTAGGTACAGAGAATGCACTGGTGGCCAAAACAGCCCCTCCAAGCCCAGAGGAGGAAAGAGACCTCTCACAATCAACTGCAAAAGCACGTGAAAAGTTCTGTGATAGCAGAAAAGGACACTGTGGTGGTTAGGTCAACACAATACAACCTAGGACCACTTGGGAAGAGTCTCAGTGAAAGGCTGCTGACATTGGATTGGCCTGTGGGCATGTCTATTGGGGATTCCATGATATGGAAAGACCCAGCCCACTGTGGGTGGCACCATTCCCTAGGCAGGGGATCCTGAACTGTGCCAGAGTAAAGAAACGGAGCTGAATGTAAGCAGCCGAGCATACGTGCAATCATTTTCCTCTGTTCTTGATTGTAGATGTGGGGTGGCTGAAGCTCCTACCTCAACTTCTCCACACTGATGGACTATAACCTGGGGCTGCTAGCTGAGAGAAACCCCTTTTCTCTCCCTAACTTGCTTTTACTCAGGGTATTTTAGCACAGCAACAGAAATGAAACTGGAACAGATACCTAACAACAGCAGGGGAATGACTTCTGAACCAGGTACAGGAGTTCTTGAAACAAGATGACAATTTACAGTTGCCTAAACACACACACACTCATCCTGCTTTCACGCACGCACACTTCCTGTCCCATCTGGCTTGCCCTTCGCCAACCCATTCACTAAGACCCAAAATGCTGGGTGGGCGTGGTGGCACATGCTTTTAATCCCTGCACCCAACAGGCAAGGCAGGCTGATCTCTGTGAGTTTGAGGTCATCCAGGGCCCTGAGACTGACCAAACAACCCCCCCCACCTCCGCCACGCACACACCTGGGTTATTCTGTGGTTCTTATGCCCTCTGCCTTCCTCCACTTCTGTCTCATTCAATTCACTTAGTTATATTTGTAGGATCCTCTTCTCTGCTGGTCTTGTTCTCCCAAGATCTCTTTCTGGTTGGCCCAGAAAGTGTCTAGCTACCACCTGGCCCCAGGCTTCGCAGAACAGGATGCGCTCACCTGTAGGCGGGTAGTCCCTGAGAGAGGGGTCATCCCCGAGGAGGAGGAAGAGGAGGCTGGAGATGGCATTTCTGGGCCCAGGATCCCACTGCTGAAGAGGGAGTCAGCCATGGGGCCAAAGCTGGGGGGCTCCAGGAAGTTTGAAGATATGGGCGTCTGCGGGGGGCGGTAGTTGGTGAAGAAATCTGTAATTGCAACACACAGGGAAGCAAATTACATTAAGGACTCAAGATAGGCCTTTTGATATGGTCCTCGAGCTAGGCAGAAGTGGGATAGGGAACGGGAGGTAGGTGGAAGGCTTCTGTGAGACTGAAGTGGTTTCTGTCACACCGGGGGAAGCTGCATTAGAGATGGGTAAGATGGTCCTGGGAGAGATGGTGGGGTCTGAGAGTGAGTGAGCAGGGACCCCAGGAAGCTGCCTGCCCATGGAACCCCACTCTTGGCTCACTTCCTTCCCTGCCTCTGCTCCTTTTTTTTTTTTTTTTTTTTTTTTAAAGCATTGTTGGCTTGAAGGAAGGGGTCACAGAGAGGTTCTGGGAAGGAAAAAAAGGAAAAAGGTGGGGTTCAGGGGAGTTGCCTGAGTCAGGGATGAACCAAGGGTGAACAGGTTCATGAGGTCAGTGGGTCAGGCATAGGTTAGACTTGCTGACAGATCAGTAAGTTGAGGCTGTAAGAGCAGAGCCTAGGCTGACGTTTGGGGGACATAGAGTGGGCTCAGAATTGCGGTGTGAGTGATAGGCAGCCAGGAAGCCTGAGAAGCTTATAAAAGAGGCAGGCAAGGCAGCCAGATTGTTTAGGGGTGTGGGTTGTGTAAGTTCTGGGCTATTCTGGTTTTGGGAAGCAGGCTGCTCATGGCCTAACCACATCCCGGGCTGGGGCGACACCCGCCTACCCTCTCCCTTCCGGGCACCTTTCTCTGACCCTGACCAGCATGTATTCTATGCTCAAGGCCTCCTGGGCCAGTCAGAGGAGACCCCACCATGGTAGTTCCCCACAGGGTTTGGTGGGCTGCGGCCCCCCACTTTTCCTCCAGAACCTCAAGCCAGGAGAGCTGGTCAGACCTTCTGACATAAGGTACTCTGGAGTGAGTTAGAGAAGGTCATAGGGTCAGGGTGTGCATGTGTGTATGCCTATGTGGTATGTGTCTATCTATGTTGTATGTATATTTGTCTAAATATGTCTATGTGCTATGTGTATTTGTGTACATACTCATATTGAGAGTATATGTGGGAGTATAACGTGTGTGTGTGTGTGTGTGTGTGTATATATATATATATATGTGTGTGTGTGTGTATACATGTATATATACAAGCAGGCCTCTGTATGTGTAAGCATGTATTTGGCATATGTATATATGTTGCCGTGTGTCCATGTGTGTATGCTTATGTATGTCCATGTGTATGAGCATGTATGAGTGTGGTAATTTTGTATATATGTATTGTGTGCATGGGTGTGCATAAGCACCTATGTGTGTGATGATGCATGGGTATGAATATATGTGCATATGTCTTGTGCATGTCATGTGTGTATATGTGTGCATGTTTGTCTTAGGTGATCCTGCCTGGCCAGAAAGACCAAACAGGTTCTGAGTATAGTATGCATGAAGTACCTGTCTACCTCCCTGGATGTCTGTCCCTAGTCTGTGACTGATGACACACCTGCCATGCCCACATCTCTTCCAGTATCAAAAGTAGTTTTAGCCTGTCCTGTGCCCCACTTACAAAGGGATCTGGAGAGGGATCAGAAAGTGGTCAGCAGAGTCGCACCCCTGTCCCCCAACGACCATGGACCTTGTTTCAGAAGGCCACGTGAAGCACAAAATTAAAGCATAGTCCCGTGGCAAACCCATCATGCCATAGCAGCTGTCTACCCTTGAGTTGTTCACGCCTGTTCCCAGCAGTCTCCCATCCAGACTCTCCAGAGAGCTCCCATCAAGCCCCTGTCCCCACACTAACGAGCCATACTCTCTGTCCCTACACCTGCCCTTCCTCAGCCCCCTGCCTCTGGAGAACTGTGTACCTTCAAGAGGTTTCCAGAACAAGGACAGAATGGAAACCCTGGTGGCTCAAGGCTTTCCCCGAGCATGGCCAGCTCCAGAGGGTCATTGTAACCACCTGCTCCAAGAGGGCCATGCTTGCCCCCAGTCAGCTTCCACCTGGCTTTGATTGAAAAGTTACTGCACACTCCAACATTTGCATTTTGCCCAGAGCCCGGGTGGGCACAGCTGAGCTCCTACCTGTGCTAGCGGTCTGTGGGACAAGATGGAGCTGCTGTCCTTGGGGGCAGGTCTGCTTCCTGGACACTGCCATCAACACTTCTGCCCCTGGCAGACCCCACCCTCCCAGGGCTAAGGCGGGGGTGTCGATAGGGGTGGTTCCTCATTCTCTAGTACCCACCCCATAGGCTTCTCCTCTTAAATGACAGGTCCTGGACCCTGTAGGGAAGGAGCTGGGAAGGGGGCATGTCACCAAATGAAGCTTCCCTCTCAGACTTGGCTCCTCAAGTTTGGGTGAGGCAGGCTCAACCCTGATATCCTCCTGACCCCCCGCTGACCCCTAGCATAGCAAGGCCCCTAAATGCATGTCTGTGAGGAGCAGTGAGCAAGACGTGCACACGCACAGCCAGGCAGCGGTGGTGCACGCCTGTAATGCCAGCACTCAGGAGGAAGAGGCAGGAGGATCTCTGAGTTTGAGGCCAGCCTGGTCTACAGAACAAATTCCAAGACAGCCAAGAATACACAGAATAATCCCATCCTGAACAAACAAACAAAAACAATAAAAAAGAAAGAAAGAAATACATTCACTGTGGGGAAGGAAGACCCCAGGGGGAAATAGGAAGCAAGTTGTTCCAGGTATTGTGACTCATACCTAGAATCCAGGCACTCAGGAGACTGAAACAGAGGATCATGAGTTCAAGGCCAGCCTGGGCTACACAGTGAAATTCTAACTTATGTAAGTGATGGGGGTGGGAGGACATGAAGAGAGAGAGAGGGAAAAAAAGAGGGAGAAAGCAAAAGAGCGAACATTCCTTGCATGGTAATAAATACACACACTTCTAATGCCAGTCCTCTAATGCCAGTATGGGAGGTTGAGGCAGGAGGATCAGAGTTCAGGGAAGCCTTGGCTATACAGCAAGTGTGAGACCAGCCTGGACAATATAAGACCCGTATCCTACTTAACTTTAACTGTCAACTTGATGATTTCCTAGAGTAACCTGAGAAGGGAACATAATTGAGGGACTGCTTAGATCAGACTGGCCTTTGTCTTGACTGTTAATTATTTACTTGACATGAAGTAGAGGAGAGAGTCTCAATTGAGTAAATGCCTCCATAAGATCAGGCTGTAGGCAAGCCTGTAGGGTAGTGATGGATGGAGGGCCCAGCCCACCGTGGGTGGAGCCACCCCAGGCAGGTGACCCAAGTTTCTATGAGCAAACACGTTTAGCAAACCATGAAGAACAAGCAAGGAGCATCAACCCTTCCATGGCCTCTGAATCAGCTCCTGCCTCCAGGTTCCTGTCCTGATGATGCAGAAGTGTAAACCAAATGAACTCTTTTCCTCCCCAAGTTGCTGTTGGCCATGGTGTTTCATCACAGCAATAGTAATCCCAACGAGGACACTAAGCAAGTAGCAGTCCTGGTCCTCCATGGTTCCTGCTGGAGTCCCTGCCCTGACTTCCCTCAGCGATGGACTGTAGCCTGGAAGGGGGGACAAACCCTTTCCTTCCCTACCATGCTTTTTGTCAGAGCTAAAGCAACAGAAAGAAAACTAGGATGGCACCTTGTACGGTGGCTTGAATGAAAATGGCCCCAATGGGCTCATAGGGAACTGACCCTGCTGGAGGAGGTGTGGTCTTGTTAGAGGAAGTGTGTCAATGGGGGAGGGCTTTGAGGTTTCAGAAGTTTAAGCCAGGCCTGGTGACACTGTCTCTTCCTACTGCCTGTGGATCAAGATGTAGGACTCTTAGCTACCTCTCCAGCGCCATGTCTGCCTGCATGCCGCCACGTCCCATCATGAGGATAATGGACTAAACCTCTGACCTGTGAGTCAGCCTCAATGAAATGTTTTCCTTTGCCATGGTGTCTCTTTACAGCAATAAAACCCTAATGAAGACACCCTGTCTCAAAAGAAAAACCAAAGACACAGAAGAGAGACACAGAAAGTTTTATCCTCATGGGCTCATACTGACATGGACAGGGTATCTGGAAATACCTGAACACATCAGTAACTCAGCAGCCTTGGGAAAGAGAGGAGTCTGATAAACTTGCCACTTTGCAAAGTGCTTTGAGGGAGTTGAAGCTGCTAATCCAGATGTAGTGGTGCATGCCTTTGATCCCAGCACTCAGGAGGCAAAGGTGGGCAAAACTTTATGAGTTCAAGGCCAGCCTGGTCTACATAGTTTCAGGACAGCCAGGGCTACACTGAGAAATCATGTCTCAACAAAAAACAAAACAAAGCCCAGAGAAATTTGATGCTTGGAATTCCCTTGTCAGTCACAGTGGCTTATGAAGTGTTCAGGTTAGAACCCAAGAACTCTCCCATGCTAGACAATAAGGGATCTGTGGTAGAGCACCCACCTAGAATCCCCTGGTGAGGGGCTAAGGTTGTGCCTTTGCCTAGAATCCCCCAGTGAGGGGCTGGGGTGTGGCTCAGTGGTGGAGCACCTGCCTAGAATCTCCCAGTGAGGGGCTGGGGTGTGGCTCAGTGGTAGAGCTCCTGCTTAGAATCTCCCAGTGAGGAGCTGATGATGATACCATTATTCATCCTCCCACCACACAAGTCTTTTAGTCTCCCAGATTTTTTTTTTTCTTACACTGACCCTTTCAGTCTACCCTTCCTCCTGGGGAAGGACCTGTCCCACCTGATATCTCCATGAAGTCATCCAGGCTGGGCTGCAGTGGCTTCAGGTCTGGCTGGATCATGTCAGCGTTGCCAACATAAGCTGGAAGGAAAGTGGTGAGGTTGGAAGCTGCAGGCAATGTAGATGGCTCAGCCCCTCTCCCCCTTCCCCCTTCCTCTCCTCACCATCTTCTGGGGGCAGCTGCAGGGACGAGGGGCTAGGCTGTGTCATGGTGAAGAGTGTGTCGGATATATCGGACAAGAAGCAGTCGAGGTCCAGAAGCTGGCGACCCCCAGGCTCCTCCTCGGAGCCCCCAAGCAACACGGGCACCACACTGGAGAAGAGCTGTTCGCACCATTGCTCTGGTGGCGGCCACCCACCTTCCACCTGGCAGGACACAGGGGTCACTGCCCTGGTCCTCCATGTTAGCCCTGCCTGAGGACGACGTGGTTCCCCACTCTGGAGGGAAAGCCTCTCTAAAAGAGGGCCTGGCATATGGTCTAAAAGGCCGAGGTCTAAAAGGCCTCTAGCAACTCCCTCTAGGAAGCAGATCTGGATGGACAATGGCCCTTCCTGCTCCCTATGCGGTAGTTTGGCTTTTATCCCAGCACTTGGGAGGCAGAGGCAGGCAGATCTCTTTGAGTTCGAGGCCAGCCTGGTCTATAGAGCCAGTTCCAGGACAGTCACGGCTACACAGAGAAACCCTGTCCCAAAAAACAAACAAACAAACAAACAAACAAAAAAAGATAGAGTCTCACTATATAGCCATAGCTGGCCTGGAATTCATTATTCCAGGTGGGTTTCAACTTCACAAAGACCCAATAGCAATAGCTTCTGCCTCCCCAGGGCTGGGGTTGAAAGCATTCACCATCACATCTTGCTGGCTTTAATTTTTTAAAATAAATTCTTTATTTGTATTTTATGTATATTAGTGTTTTGCCCAGATCTCCTGGAACAGGAGTTACAGACAGTTGTGAGTTGCCATGTGGGTGCTGGGAATTGAACCTAGTCCTCTAGAAGAGCAGCCAGTGCTCTTAACTGCTGAGCCATTTTCTCCAGTCCTCGGTCTAACTTTTTTTTTTTTTTTTTTTTTTTTGAGGCAGAATTTTATGTAGCCCTGCTGGGACTTCTATGTAGCAGAGGATAGCCTTGAACTCCTGATCTTACTGCCCCCTTCATGGTGGCATTGCTGGTGTGCATCGTCAAGCCACGTTTTAAGGGTTTTTTAGTTTTTTTTTTCTTTTTTGTTCTTGTTGTTCTTGAAGACAGTCTCTAAGCTCGCCTCAAACTTCCTGAACTGACCTTCAATTTGCAATCCTCCTGCCTCAGCCTTAGCCTGGCTTTCTGTCTGCTTTCTTCTGTCTGAGACTCCCATCCTGTGAATGCCTTTCTCTTGGGCTTCCTCCCATCTGCTTGCTCTGCTTCCCCCCCCCCTTGGTTTGTTTATTTGCTTGCTTTTCTTAAGACAAGAAGATCTCACTCTGCAGCTCACACTGGTATTGGACTCATAATTTAACTCAGACTAGCCTGGAACTCACTGTAATCCTCCTGCCTCACAACTGCATCTTCCCAGGAAGAGAAAATTTCAGTAATCACCTACACCCAGAAGAGGCCATGTCCATTCCTCTCACATCCAATTACCTCTCCCCTATCCTGTTCTGGCCAGCCAGGCAGACACTTCAATTCTCCAGTTTTCACCTTCCTAGATGATGCCCTTCCTGGCTAGACTTATGAACACTCACCTGTTTGGGAGCCAGGAGATCCCCTTCCCTGCTGGACTTACGGAGCTACGGAACACAAGAGTGGACACTGAATCCCGTCCTCACTGAGTCACTCCCTCTCCACCCACAGCCACTGGAGCTCCTAGTTCCCAGGCCCGTCCCTTCCCACCACCCAGGAAGAGAAGCTGGCCCTGGGGAGACCCTTTGGCTACTGCGGAGCCATCATGCTGGGACTTAATGGGGTGGTTGAGGGTATGGGTTGGGGTGGGGCCATGGGATCCCCTCCAGGTCTCTTCTAAGCCGCAAAGGGATGCTCTGCCCCTGCAGTTCCACTGACCCGCTTCTTGTAGTAGATTCTCCACTTGTGGTACTCTCGCATCACCACCTCGATGCGCCGCTTCCAGTAATTCCCCTCCAGGACCACAGCCTAGGGGAGGACAAGTATCAGGGCTCAGTGCGATGGGTGACGCCCTAGATGGTCAGAGCCCCCATATCCCACCTCACACCCGATCCCCACCGAAGGAGGGAACCTCTGGTGGGGTAAGCAGATGAACAGGCAGCCCATCTCCAGCTACCTCAGGTTTCCGGTGCTCGTCTGCTTCAGACCCCTGCAGGGGGGTCACGAAACCACACACTGGGCTCTTCCTCCGCTGCACATCTGAGGGAAGAGGGGGGCCAAGTCAGAGGCACCCAGACCTCTCATCCTCCTCCACCCTAGGAGACTGGAAGTTGAGTGACACACTTTATAATCCTGCTAGATCATTTGTTTTTCTTTCTTCTCACTCACTCATTCACTCATTCTTTCTTTGTTTTAGAAACTGGTCCTTTGATGGTCTCAAACTCATTGGGTAGCTAAGGATGACCTTGAGCTCTTGATCATTCTGCCTCAACTTCCTAAGTTCACCACCATGGCAATTCCATGCTGTGTGGGAAGCCAGGGAATCCTGCTTTCTAGACAAGCACTCTGTCCACTACAAGTCTCACCCCCTCCTTCCCTCCCTCCCTTCCTTCCTGTCCCTCCCTCCCTCTCCCTCTCTCCCAGCCTCCTTCTTGCCCTCTTCTTCTCTTTCTCTCTCTACACAAGCTCTACTACTGAATCATGACCCCACCTCTCACTGGGAGATTCTAGGCACCCTATTACTGAGCCACACCCCATCCTCAATGGAAGTGTACTCAGGAAATACATCATCAGGTCTTGTGTAAAGGTTTTTTGTTTTGTTTGGTTTGGTTTGGTTTTGAGGCAGGGTTTCTCTGCTTTGGAGACTGTCCTGGAACTTCTCTTATAGACCAGGCTGGTTTCGAACTCACAGAGAGATCTACCTGCCTCTGCCTCCTGAGTGCTGGGACTAAAGGCAGGCGCCACCACCACCACCGGGATGTGTAGAGTATTTTTTATTTTGACATGGATTCTTGCTATTTATTAGAGCTTGGGATAGCCTGGAATCATTATGTAGCCTAGGCTGTCATCAAACTCCTTTTTGTTGTTGTTTGTTGAGACAGGGTTTCTCTGTAGAGCCCTGGCTGTCCTGGAACTTGCTCTGTAATCCTGGCTGGCCTCAAACTCTGAGATCCACCTGTCTCTGCCTCCCAAGCACTGGGATTAAAGGCATGTGACACCACTGCCCAGCCTCTCAAGCTCTTTTTAAAAAGAGATTTATTGGGGTTGGGGAGGTGGTATAGCCATTAAAAGCATTGGCTATTCTTCTAGAGGAGGGGGATTCAGCACCCACGTGGCAGTTCACAGCTGTCTGTAACTGCAGTTCCAAGGGACTTGACACCCTCACATAGACATACAAGCAGGCAAAACATCAATATAAAAATAAATCTGGAAAGGAAAAATAAGAAAAGATTTATTTCTTGTACATCTGCACACCAGATTCCATTATAGATGGTTATAAACTGCTTGTAGATGCTGGGAATTGAACTCAGGACCTCTGGAAAAGCAGCCAGTACTCTTAACCACTAAGCCATCTCTCCAGACTGTCCTCAAACTCTTTATCCTCCAGCTTGCTTCAGCTCCTGGTTCTTTTCTACTCCCCACAATTTTCCTCTTCCCTTCATTACTCTAAGAAATGAACACTCTACTCTTGCCCCAAATTCTGCAGGTGTCACACCTGCCACATCTTCAGTCCAGAAACTCAGTGTCTTTCCGGAAGGCCCAGCACCCACCTTCCCCACCAGCCCCAGGAGCTTTGCTCCCTGATCTCCGGCCACCTGTCTGCTCCCTGCTGACCCCCGAATTCTCTTCCCACTGATATTCCAACATGGGCAAAGAGTCTTTAGCAGCTCCAAGACTGACAGTCCACAGACCAATCATGACAATGCAGCAGGATCCATGACAGGATTCACTGTCCCCTCCTCTCCATCCTTTCGCACTCACCCCCTAGTCTTAGTCATTCTTTGCACAGACCTCCCCGACTCCAGCCCCTTACTCAGCTGCTATAGGTCTAAAACACTCCATAGCTCCCTACAGCCTCCAGGGCAAGAAACACACTACTCACACTCATTTCGGTTTCCAAATTCCCCCTGACCTGGCTGCCCCATGTCTCTGCCATGTGTTCCACCCATAGTCTACTTTCTATTGTGTTTGGTTTCTATTCTACTCATGTGGTGGTTTGACAGAAAATGGCCCCGTAGGGAGTGGCACCATTAGGACGCATGGCTTTGTTGGAGCAGGTGTGACATTAGGAGGAAGTGTGTCTCTGCCAGGGTGAGCTTTGAGACCTCATATATGTGCTCAAGCTCTGCTCAGTTAGAACACAGTTGCTTCTGCTGCCTGTGGATCCCGACTTAGAGCTCTCAACTCCTTCTCCAGCACCAAGTCTGCCTGCAGGCCGCCATGCCACCTGCCGTGACAATAATAGACTTAACCTCTGAACCTGTAAGCCAGACCTGACTAAATGTTTTCCTTTGTAAGAGGCAGAGGCAGGTGGATCCCTGTGAGTTCGAGGCCAGCCTGGTCTACAGAGTGAGTTCCAGGACAGCCAGGGCTGTTTCACTGAGAAACCCTGTCTTGAAAGAACAACAGTAAAAAAAGAGTGTTGTGGTCATGGTGTCTCTTGACAGCAATAGAAACCCGAACTGCGACAGTTAATGAAAGAAGTCCTTATATAGTCTAGGACTGCCTCAAACTTGTGCTCCTCCTGCTTGACCTTCTTGAGTGCTATTACCAGCAATGCCACCAGGCTCGTTTCTAGTCTTATTCTACAGGGAACACCAACCTCCAGTCCTTCCTGTGATTTCCTCGCATGCTCTACACTGCCAGTTATTTCTCTTCAGGGCCTATTGATTCAATGGAACTTCATCACAGACAGTACTGGGGTAGCATGTAGCTCAGTGGTAGAGCACCTGCCTAGAATCCCCCAGTGAGGGGCTGGGGTGTGGCTCAGTGGTGGAGCACAAGCCTAGAATCCCCCAGTGAGGGGCTGGGGTGTGGCTCAGTGGTGGAGCACAAGCCTAGAATCCCCCAGTGAGGGGCTGGGGTGTGGCTCAGTGGTGGAGCACAAGCCTAGAATCCCCCAGTGAGGGGCTGGGGTGTGGCTCCGCGGAATAGCACTTGGCTAGTATATGCGAGGCCCTTGGTTCCAACCCAGTATCACAAAGAGGAGTAAGGAGGGAAGGCCCTGGGCCCTGCCTGTCCCCTCCCCTGCTCAGGGGCTCTGTTCTCTGTACACAGGGCTGTGTCATGTTTTACTTAACACCAATCATATCCTCCATGCACTTGCACTACCATTGCGTCTCACCCCAAGCGCCCAACGTGGGGGATTCTAGGTTGGTGCTCTTTCCTTCTCCACCATTCACTACCCAACCCTTTGCACCTTTGCAGGGGCCAACGCTGGGATGAAGACTTGGGGATCTGCTCAGGGCAGCAGAGATAAGGAAAACAAATAAAGCTGGGTCAGATAAGGTAAAGTAGAAAGTCCCTCTTGTCCAGGGAGAGGTGCAAAGTGCCCTGGCAGCGCCAAAACCAAACCGCTTTGGGAGCGTGGAAGAGGAGTGGACAAGGAAGGAAGCTTGTGGCCAGGGTGAAGTTAGAGACCTGCGGAGGGCCTGTGGCGCCCCCTAATGGGTGAGATGAGGATGGCGCCTTCCGCCGGGGTGGAAGCCAGGCTTCCTCCACAGGCCTTTGTGGAGACTGAACCTCGAGTCTCCACCGAGGAGCTACATTAGTGTTTATTTATTTTGTGTGGCGAGAAGGAGGAGCACATGTGTGCCATGGCACATGTGTGGGGGTCAGAAAAGAACTTTCTGGAGTTGGTACTCTCTTTTCATCTTCATTTGGGTCCAGGGAACCCAATTCAGGTCATCAACCTCAGTGGAACGCACCTTTATCCACCAAGCCATCTTGCCTGCCCTCTTGTTTTTATACAGTCTCCGTATGTAAACCAGACTGGACTCAACCTGTCACCCTCCGGCCTCAGCCTCTACAATAGATGAAATTACAGGCCCACATCATCACAATCACCTTTTTAAAAATTCAAAATCTTTTTTTTCCCCCTCTCTCTGAGACAGGGTTTCTCTGTGTAGCCCTACCTAGCTGTCCTGGAACTCGCTCTGTAGACCAGGAGGATGGCCTTGAACTCACAGAGATGCACCTGCCTCTGCCCTCCCGAGTACTGGGATCAAAGGTGTATGTCACCACCACTTGGCAAAAAACTTACAAGTATTTCAAGGTTTATTTATTTTATTGTATGTTTATGAGTGTTTTCCCTGTGTGTATGTATGTGTGCCTGGTACCTATGGAGGTCAGAAAAGGGCATCAGAGTCTCTGAAACTAGAGTCGTAGATGTTTGGGAGCCATTGTGTGGGTGCTGGGAACCGAACCAGGTCTTCTGCAAGAGCAACAAGTGCTCTTAACTACTGCACTGATCCATCGCTCCAGTCCCCAGAGCCCCATGGTGGGGAGGAGCCATGCCACCCTGGCCTTCCAGCTCCCTAATTTTTCAAATTCATTTATTTATTCATTGACTGATTAATTGGCTGGCTGACTGATTGATTAATTGTAATGCTAAATATTGAACCTAGGGCCTCCATGCCAAGCCATACATACCCTTAGCCCCTTCCTGGGGGGATTCTAGGCTGGCCCTGAGCTATATCTCCAGCTCATATTTTACTTTTTCTTTTGAGATAGCTCCATTAAGTTACACAGACTGGCTTTGAACTTGAGATCTTTCTTCAGCCTGCAGGGTAGATAGGGTCTGTACCATCACACCATGCTTTGTTATAAGATATTGCTACAATGTTGCCACTATGATCATACTAATAATGAGCCTAGCCTCCCCACATCCATGGAGCCCTCCTGAGCTATATACACTGATACATAGATATGCCCAATAAATAATAGTTTAAAAAACAGCTTGGAAAAGCCTGACATGTGGTGCATGTCTTTAATGCCAGCACTTAGGAGTAGAGGTAGGTACATCTTTCTGAGTTTGAGGCCCACCTGGTCTACAGAGCAAGTTTCAGGTCAGTCAAGGATGCATAGTAAATTCCTGTCTCAAAAAAAGCGGGGGAGGCGCTGGCGAGATGGCTCAGAGGTTAAAAGCACTGGCTGCTCTTCCAGAGGTCCTGAGTTCAATTCCCAGCACCCACATGGTGGCTCACTGTAATGAGATCTGGTGTCCCCTTCTGGCCTGCAGGCAGACATGCAGGTAGAACACTGTGCATAACTAAGAAATAAATCTTAAAATAACAAGGAGGAAGAGGAGTAGGAGAGAGAAAGGAAATAAAACAAAAGGTCACAGTGGACCAGGTATGGTGGTGTTCCCTTGTACTTCCAGCACTCAGGAGGAGGAGAAAGGAGGAAGATCAGGAGTTCAAGATCACCCTTGGTTACATCCTGAAATCAAATCTAACCTGGGCTATATGAGACCCTGTTTTAAAAAGAAGAAGAAGAAGGAAGAGAGGGGTGGGTTGCTGGGTTGCTGAGAATGAAGTCAGTTCAGCTTTTGGAAGCATTAGGACCAATGTTCAATGTATGTTAAAAAGAAAAATAAGGTGGGAGCATGTTTGGGACCCCAGTGGATCCCTGGGGTTCACTTCCCTGGCCAGGAAGCCTAACCTATTTAGTTTGAGGCAATGAGATAAAATAACAGCCAAGGCCGACCCTTTGCCTTTATATATTCATGTGCACCTGCATAGATATACGGAGAGAGGGAGGGAAGGAGGGAGGGAGGGAGGGAAAAAAAGAGAGGGCTGGGAAAGGAAGGGAGCAAAGGAAAAGATAAATTTCTGCAGAGCCAACAGTATATGTGTGCCCATCTGGTGGTGTATGTAAATGTCTCCACATGTACCCTTTTTGTGGTACTGGAAATGGAACCCAGGTGCTTGAACATGCTAGGTAAGTATATTACCGTTGGTCCACACCCAAGCCCCTCACTCACTGGTGGATTCTAGACAGACCTTTTACCACTGGATGGCTTCCCCAGGCCCACACTTGGGGGCTATAGGCTCGTACTCTACCACTGAGCCATACTGTACCCCCAGCCCCTCACTGCGGGATCCTAGGCAGGTGCTCTACCACTGAGTCACACCCCAGTCCCACACTGGGGGATTCTGGGCATGTGCTGTCCCCCTGAGTTCTAACGGGCTTCTTTTACCAGAGGATCCCAAGGAGCTTACTTGGTGAAGGGGCTGCTGAACGGGTCTTGAATTGGCACCCACAAGGCAGCCTCCTTGAGAGCTTGCAAAGTGCCCTCTGCTGCATCTTGGCTCACAGTGGAAAGTGACCTTTGACATATATTCCTCAAGACCCTCTGAAGGCTAGAAGCTGTTCAAGAGTCCTTGCACTGAGGGCTTGTTCTGCCCACAGGCTGGCATCATGCGCTCTGCATGTGTTGGCTCTGGGGTTTATGAATGGAGTCCTCTGACTGGAAAGAATCCTCCCAACCCCAAGGGACCCACGGCACCCACTCACACTGAATGTACCAGGCCCTCCAGATGGCGTTGTTGAGGCGGATTTTGTCCCGGCACAGCAATTTGAGGCCTTTGAAGTTCTTCCACTTGGGAGAAACCAGCTTGCCACTGTTGGAGAGGGTGAGAGGGGAAAATATCAGGGTCGGGCAGGGAGAGAGAAGACGGAGGCATTTTTTTAAAGATTTGTTTACTTATTATGTACAGTATTCTGTCTGCAGTATGCCTGAGTGCCAGAAGAGGGCATCGGATTTCATTACAGATGACTGTGGTTGCTCTTAACCTCTGAGCCATCTCTGCTGCCCTGATGGAGGCATTTCTACAGTAGTCTTCCATCTATGGCTGGAATTCCCCCGGAATCCCCAAATCCTGTCTATTATCTAACATGCCTGAAATTACTACCCTGAAATCAAACCTTACAAATAGCCATCCAGACCCCACCCTATGTCTATTGGTTATCTCCTTCCACCCAAAGGCAGGTACTTCTTACCAATGGTTTTCAGAGTAACACTGTCCATTGGTCTCAAGGGGAAGAGTTTTCACATCCCTGTGTGTGTGTGGTGTTTGTGTGTGTGTGTGTGGTGTTTGTGTGTGGTGTTTGTGTGTGTGTGTGTGTGTGTGTGTGTGTGTGTGTAGAAGGAAAAAGAGTCCCCCTTTTTTTTTAAGATTTAATTTTATTTTATGTACATTGGTGTTTTGCCTGTGTGTCAGATCACCTAAAACAGCAATTGGGAACAGTTGCGAGCTGCCATGTGGGTTCTGAGATTTGAACCCAGGTCCTCTGGAAGAACAGCCAGTGCTCTTAACTACTAAGCCATCAAATGAAATTTGAAATCATGTTGCCTCATGGCCATAGAGACCCTAAAGGCCCCATGCCTCCCTGAGGTCACACCCCTCAGTGAGGATCTATAAGCAGTTAGTAGTGTAAGAAGGTTTCTACAGCAGTAAAGATAACGGTAGGGTGGCCATGCTCCTATAAATATGAACCTATAGCAACCCTAAACTCACTACATAACAACAACAAAAGCAGGTATCAGGGCCAGCTATATGGCTCAGCAAGTAAGCGTGCTTGTTGCCAAGCCTGATGACCTGAATTTGATCCCCATGATCCACATGGTGAAAGGCTATAGAACAGATTTCCAGAAGGTGTCCTCTGACCACCACACCAAGGTATTCTCACCCACCCCCAGAAAACACACAAAATAAATAAAAGTTATTTAAAATTGTAAAATATGATGCCAGGCAGTGGTGCTACACGCCTTTAATCCTAGCACTTGGGAGGCAGAGGCAGGTAATCTCTGAGTTCCAGGCTAGCCTGGTCTACAGAGTGGCAGGACAGCCAGGGATACACAGGGGAACCTCCCTCCCCCATCCCACCATAAAAAAAATAATATTAAGAGATGGAAGTAGAAGGGAACTAAGAAAGGGAGAGGACAAGAGAGTGTAACCCAAATACATTACACACATGTATAAAAATACCATAATGAAATGTGCTGTTGTGTAACTAATATATGCTAATACAAAGCCTCTAAAAACCCAAGAAATCAGGGCTGGAGAGATGGCTCAGAGGTTAAGAACACTGGCTGCTCTTCCAGAAGTCCTGAGTTCAATTCCCAGCAACCACATGGTGGTTCACAACCATCTGTAATGAGATCTTGCTCCCTCTTGTGGCCTTCAGACATACATGCAGACAGAAGACTGTATACATAATGAATAAATCTTTAAAAAAAGAAAAAAATAAGTAAAACAAAAGCCTAAGAAATCCTTCTGCCTCAGCCCTCAGCATCCTCAAGTTTGCAATGTATGTATGTACCAACATGAAGGGCTCTCACTTCTCTCCCTACTTTAGCCTTTCAGAGAGGATCTTACCTGGTCTTCCCGATCCGCCTGCCTCTGCCTTCAGAGAGCTGGATTACAGGTGTGTACCACCATGCCCAGCTTCTCATACCCATTTCTTACACCTTTTTTAAAAAAATAAAAGTTTTCTTTGTTTTTATGTTGCGTGTATGAGTGTCTACATGTGCAACACGCATGCCTGGTGCCCATAAGGGCCAGAACAGGGCATCAGATTCCCTGGAACTGGAGTTACAGATGACTATGAGCTGCCATGTGGGTTCTGGGACCCAAACCTGGGTCCTCTGCAAAAGCAGCGAGTCCTCCTAACCAACCAAGCCATCTCTGTAGCCCCCAAATAGCCACTTCTAATGAGAAAAGAGACACTCCCAAAAGGACACATAAGAACTCACAGGCTCTTACTGTGCAGCCCTGGCTGGCCTAGAACTTACTATGTAGACCAGGCTGGCTGTGAACTCACGGAGATCTGTCTGCCTCTGCCTCCGCCTCCTGAGTGCTGAGATTTAATATGTGTATCACCATGCCTGGATTCCAGTCCCCTTTTTGCTTGTCAGTCTCATTGGCTCTGATAGGTCTATGAAAGACTTAGGAGGGGCTGGAGAGATGACTCAGAGGTTAAGAGCTCTGGCTGCTCTTCCAAAGGTCCTGAGTTCAAAGCCCAGCTATATGGTAGCTCACAACCATCTGTAATGAGATCTGGCGCCCTCTTCTGGCGTATATACAATAAATAAATCTTCTAAAAATTATTTTTAAAAAAGACTTAGGAGAAGAGGGGCAGTTTGCCTGGATATAAGAAGGAAGTGCCCATGTATCCACAGTTCATGTGTGACCATCTACAGGCAGCAGGAAGCCATGGAAGAATTATTTGGTCAAAGGAAGACAGCATAGAAACAGAATCATAGCCTTGACCTTAACCTAGGGGTCCACAGAGAAGTGGCTGTACATAGGTAATGCTTCAACTCTGAAGGTCCCTCTGAGAACAGGCCAAGTTATCACCACCTGGGAGCTGACCCAAGAGGCCAAGATGCAGACGATAAAAGTCTTGGACACCTTCTGTTCTCACCCTTATCCATCCTTCTTTCTTTCCTCATGGTCTATAAGCCAAGCTTGTATCCAAGTCCCTCTGGTCTATCTTTCCACTCCTTGCTCAGACAGACCCCTAAGGTTTAGCCTTTCAGAAAGCCAGGCTGGCAATGGGTGAATGGCTCTTTCTAGAATCCCCCAAGGAGAGGCTGGAGATGTGGTTTGGTGACAGAGAGCTTTCCCAGGAATTGGACAAGACCTGGATCCCATCTTCAGAACTATACACACACACACAAAATCAGGCCTGCTTTCTCAGTAGCTCCCTCATGGTATGGGTAAGGGGTGGGTAGGTGGCCATCTGATCCCTTGTTTCTCTCTTCCTGTTCTACCTTGAGCACATGGGTCATTGGGCCTCCTCTCCTTTCTGGTCTCCAAGCTCCAGTATTTGCTTTAGGATAATGGTAGCTGCCAGGGTGTGGGATGTGGGGTGGCAGGGGCTGCCACCTCAGGACAAAACAGGCTTCATTACCCAAATAGGCCACCCTAGCCTGAGGGCTGGCCCCCTGCCTCCCACAGCTAGATAAATACCATCTGTCCAGTAAGGCAACGTGATCCTTCCAGGGACAGCTTCTTTGGTGGTGTGGGGTGAGTGGGGGGACACTCCTGAGTTTGTGGTCCCTGTGTGTGTCTCAACAACCATTAGGTTCTGCTCACCCAGGGTCCTCCCTCAGCCTAATGCTGTCCTCCAGCTCCCTCAGAGGCTGGTAGCCTAGCCTGAGGGAGATAAGCCCGTGATAATATCCAAGTCTAAAGGAAAGGATTTGGTTGTGAGAGGAAGAGTTTGGTCTGGTGCAAATAAATAAATAAATAAATAAATAAATAAATAAATAAATAAATAAACTAGGACCAAAGTTCAAAAGCTGTGAACAATGGGGGGGGGGGACAAAACTTCAGAGGGGAGAGATGGGGAGGAAGGAGAGGGAGGAATAGGGTATGGTGGGTTTTTTGGGGTTTTTTGATTTCTTAAGACAGGGTTTCTCTGTGTAACAGTCTCTGTCCTGGAACTCACTCTGTAACCCAGGCTGGCTCCGAACTCACTGAGATCTGCCTGCCTCCCCTGGGATTAAAGGCATTAGACACCATCTCCCAACCAGAGGACAATCTTAAATACTGTTCCTCAGATGCTATCCACCATGGTTTTGGAGACAGTCTCCCACTGACAGTCATCCACCCTGTAAGCTAAGCTGGCTGGCCCTGGGGTCTCAGGCATCCATCTCTGGGCTGGGCAGTGGGACCACAAGGGCACACGGGAAGGGAAGCCCAGTTCTTTTCTCTGTGGGTTCTGGGCATTGGACTCAGGTCCCCAAGCTTGCAAGGCAAATCTTTACCAACAGAGCCATCTCCCCAGCCCCTGTGTTTTTTTTTTATCCCCCACCCCACCACCCTCTGTTTGTTTATTTAACATAGGGTACTAGGTAGCCCAGGTTTAGATTCTCATCCTCCTGCCTCAGCCTGCAGTGTTGGGAAGACAGACTCGTGCCACCACTCCCTAGACAAGTGCCTTCTTGGAACTTTTACAGCTGTCCTCCCTGGGGCTTCCACCCACAGAACCAGGGAACACAGTGTGCCAGAAGTACTCCTTGGCGAGGGTGAGGCTGTCCTTCTCCCTGTCAAACCGACCGGCTCCACCCACCACTGACCCCCTGCCTGGCTGCCCCACCCCCACCTCTCTAGTTGCTCGCTAGAGAGTCTCAGCCCCTGAAATCCCCTCTGCAGGGGGGTCTTTGGGAGTCTTCTGCTCTGAGCTTGTACTTGTTTGTATCTTGGGCTAGCCTTGAACCTTAAATTCCTATGCAGCAGAGGATAACGCTGACCTCCTGACCCTCCTTCCTCAGCCTGAGTTCTGGGATTCCAAGCACGCTCAACCAAAGGTTTATAAGCTTGTGCATGGGGTGCTTGCTTTTGTTTATTTTTATTTATTATTGGGAGGAGTGTGCGTGCCTGGCACGTGGAGGCCAGAGGATAATTTAGTGGCATCTACGCTTTCCAGCCATGTTGAGGCAGCAAGTATCATCACTCTACCAGCCTATATTTGTTTGTTTGTTTGTTTTTTCTTCACCAAGAGTGTAAACCCTTAAACCCTGTGTAGTTGGCCAGCCCCATCGTTGGTGCTTAGAACCCCATTGAAGAGAATTTAATGTTCTTGCTCTTTGGGGGAGAAAACGCAGCACTCTCTCTCCACCCTAGCCGCAAAAGAGAGCAGTTCTGGGAGTGTGTTCTGTCCCTCCTAGGACTATTTCCCCTTAACTCTCCCCCTTTAGCTGCTCATAGTCTGAGTTGGAGGCCCAGCAAGCTGGTCCAAGTGAGTGTTGTGTAGAAACAGCAGGAAGCCGGAGTTGGGAGTAGTTGGCAAATGGGAGCCGCTTTGGGGGAACCTGGGAACCCTAGGCTTCTTGTGACTCATGCCTATAATCCCAGCATCTGGGGAGACCAGGAGCAGAATTGTATACCGAGTTCCAGGCCAGCCTCTGCTATATGGTGAGTGCCAGGTTAGTTTGGGCTACAGTGTGAAACCCTGCCTCAAAGAGAGCGGCAGTAGGGATATCTTCCTCTCCTCCATGTAACCCCAATAACTGGGAATCTCTGCTAGCTAAAACACTGTCCCAGTGTGAGCTGCATCTGGTAGTCTGAGACCTTAAATGCCCCCTTCCCAGGGAGTCTCATGATGTCCAAGGGCGGGGGAGGGGGAATGGGACAAGGAATTTGAACTTTCCACATCGGTCTCAGCGCCCTGAACTATCAGGTTGCAACATGACCCGGGCTGGAGGCCAGAACATGTGGGCCAAGGTTACACTGCCTCCAGCCAATGGGGTCGCGCAGCTCTGCCACCACGAGGTAGGCCACGCTCTTCCGCAATCCCCACCCCTGCTCCAGGTCCCCTATGGGGCTGCAGGTGCGGGTCTACAGCCAGTGGCTCTACAAAAGGGAGGAGGCTCGTTGAAGAAGAGTGGTATTTACAGAGAGGAAGGATCAAGGCCGGCCGATTCCCCTTTCTCTCCTACTGTTTTCGGTTGATAATTTATCCTGGTCCCTCTGCTCCCGGGAACTTTGCTCCAGGGCACTGGGCCAGGACCCCAGTTCGTGCCCTCCTCTGGGACACGTAGGTGGGGCTGGAGCTGGGTGCGGCCCTGGAGCTCTCAGCAGAAGCAAGGGGTTCCTGTAACGCTTCCCACAGATACCGGGTTCGGGGAGACCAGGTTTCCCCAGTCCCGAGGCAAGGCAGACTGCAGCACCCCCTGCTGGTTCTGGGCAGATCCCGGGCACCATCTTCCCGCCAACCTTGACAGAGCGTTCTAAATCAGGCGTAGTGGCTCATGCCTGTAATCCCGGTATTTGGGAGGCTGAGATAGGCATTTAGCCTGGGCTACCTAGCTCCACGCCACCCTGAACTTCAGAGTGAGACTGAAATCACCAAGCTAAATCAAACAAATGATGTGCGGGCAATCGGGAAGTGGACAAGAAACTATATCTCCATATAAGTTAACACTGGCTATGAGAGCAATCACCAGAGAGCTGCAGTGTGCAGGGAAATGTGTGGGACTTTGCGGGGACTACTGAGGATAGATGAAACAGTCCAGGAATGACACGAATGGAGGGAGGGAGTGGACGGGATGGCTTACAGTTTGGGGAGTGTGAGGGACACCTGGCATTTCCTAAGGGAGAGGGGCCCAACTGCCAGAGGCCCTGCAGAAGAGGGCAGGAGAGTGGCGCCGCGAGCAGGTGATAGAACGCATATGATTCACGAGGGTCAGTGGACTGGCTTAGGACCGGGGAAGGGGGAGGATGCCTAGGTTGTGTCCAGAGTTCCCCGGAGCAGCGTGGGAACAGAGCCCCAGTGCGCGGTACCCCACGGAAAGCTGGGACTCGGCCCGCCCTCACCTGTAAGCCAGGCTCAAGCACTCGAAGAGGCGGGTGAGTGTCGGATCGATGCTGCGCGGCCCGAAGTCGGCGACCCCCATGGGCCCCTCCTGGTCGCGTCGCCGGTTCAGCAAGTCGCTATGCGGCGAGGACACCATGAAGTGTCCGCTGTGGATGACCTGAGATCGGTGCAAGCCACCCGCGCTGCGCCGGAGACTCGGATCCTCAGAGTCTGTATCCGAGTCCGAATCAGGGCAGGGGACGACCCGGGGCACCTGCAAATCCACAGCTAAACCCTCCAGGGCGCGCGCCATGGCCACTACGGCGGCCAACTCCACTGCGCTCTGGGGAGCAGTCAAATCTCCTATCTTACCCAACAGGGCCTAATTAACATGACCACGCCCCACGTTTCTGATAGGTCCAGATGGGCGCGTTCTTGGTGGTAGGTGGGGCTCAAATTAGCATAATCAGTGAACCAGATTTGAAACCACTGGTCCTGGAGTTTGGGGAACGCAGTTCCTTTCTGTTATGAACCCTTATTAGTTTCTACTTCTTGGATAGACTGGGGATGGGGCTGCAGCTCGGTAGGTAGAGTGCTGGCCTAGAATGCATGAAGCCCTGGGTTCGATCATCCTCACCACAGAAGCTTGGCATGCTGGCGAAGGTCTGTGATCTCAGCACTGGCAGGCAAAGGCAAAAGATCTTAACTTAAAGCCCACAATATGGCTAACAGGTAAAGATGTTTGTCCAGGTCTGACAACGTGAATTCCAACCCCAGGACCCATACAGTGGAAGAAGATACTGAATTTCTTTAAGTTGACCTTTGAATTCTACAGGTGCGCATGGCACACCCGTTCCCAAACACATAAACGCTAAATAACTAAATAAATCAATGAAATATCAGAAGTTCAAGATCACTCTGCTTCCTAGTGAGTTCAGTGTGTCCCTCATCTGCCTTTCTTCACTTTTCCAGGGTCCAGTATGGTTGACCCCCAATGTTTAGATTGTACCCAAGTCCTCTTATGATTGTGCAGCCAAGTTCAGAAGGGGGTCCCTGAGAGCCTGCCCTCTCTAGATCACCTCCCCTGTCCTCAGGCAGGCTTTCTGCTCAGGAAGTTCTCTCACTGACCCTGAGGTCCAGCTCCCATTCCCATCTCTCTTTTACTTACTTTTATTTAGGACAAACACCAGGCTGGACATTAACAACAGCTACCTAACTGAATAGGTAAAAGTCCTATTTCTGAGGCATCAGCCAAGGATGGCTCAGTGGTAGACAGCTTACCTAACATTCACAAGGTCCTGGGTTCAATTCCCTGCACTGGACAAACAAAAAATCCCTTGTCTGAGGCATACCACACAGGAATGGAAAGCCTGATGTAGATTATGTAGGTGTTGGTTGGAAAGTAGCTGTAAGTGCCACAGCCTCCTACCTGGAGTTATTTTCCACAGACTTTCTCTCTGGCTGAGTGGGATGGAAGGGTCATGGGTGACCCTACTTCATCACACACACCCCAGTCAACAGTCGCTCTTCAAACAGCTTCATTTGTACCTCAGTTCTACTTCCCAGGCCCCGAGGAAAACCTTTAGAGACCTCAGCAATAAACAGACAGGCTTAGAACTGGGCAGTGGTGGCACACACCTTTAGACCCAGCAGTCAGAAGGTAGAGATTTCTGCGAGTTCAAGGCCAGCATGGTCTACAGAGCGAGTTCCAGGACAGACAAGGCTACATAAAGAAACTCCTATTCAAAAAACAAACAAGCAAAAAGGAAGATAGGCTTACACTGGGTGGTGGTGCATGCCTTTAATCCCAGCACTTGGGAGGCAGAGGCAGGTGGATCTCTGAGTTTGAGGCCAGCCTGGTGTACAGTGTGAGTTCCAGGACAGACAGGACTGCACAGAGAAACCCTGACTCAAAAGAAAAGGGGGGTGGAGGAAGAAAGTAAAGGTAGGCTTGCTTATAAACCGTCTAGCACTGTGGAAGCATCAAATTTAAAGGCTAACGGAGTCTACATATACAGTTCCAGATTTGTCTGCAGGCTGGGCCTGTAGTTCAGTTGGTAGAGTACTTGTCCACCCAGCAAGTAGGAAGCTGTGGGTTCAATCCCCCAGCACTTTGTAAACCAGGTGTGGTGCTCACTTCTGTAATCTTAGCCCTGGGAAGATACAGGCAGAAGATCAGGAGTAGAAAGTCATGCTTGGCTACATGCGAGTTTGAGGCCAGCTTGGGGCTACATAGTGAGGCCCTGTCTCTCCAAAATAAAACAGGGCCCATGAGATGGCTCATGGGGTAAAGGTGCTTGCTGCCAAGCCTGATGACCAGTCCTTGGAACCCACGGAAGGAGAAGAAAACCAACTCCCACAAGTTGTTCCTCGACCTTCACCCATGAACACTGTTGGCACATGTACTCTCTCTCTCTCTCTCTCTCTCTCTCTCTCTCCCTCTCTCTCTCAAACACATACACAACACATGAATACACACAATAAATGTCAAAACATGTCAAAGCAAAACCCTCCAAACAACAACAACAAAAACCAAACTTTTGATTTTTGACCACAGTGGCATGACATGGCATGACACACACGACGCCTCTTCCAGGTGGCCTGGTGTAAGCTGGCCTGGTTCACCTCTTAGTGACTTTCTCACTTGCTCTCTAGTACCCGATGCCCAGAGTTCACAGCCTCTTAGATAAATACGTCTGGTTCACAGTCCACAGGTTACACGATGAATCCAGTTTCCCCCAACGATCCTTCCTGCCACCATCTCAGCCTCCCAGGCCTGCATCTTGAGGTTTCTCCCTTAGACTCACAGTGAAGTGCCACCTTCTGCTTGCCTTCCCCACCCTGGTTGGATTTGGATTTCCATCAGCGAGATTCACAATAGGTGCACTGGCCTCTCCTTCCCACTAGATGGCAAATTTCCTGGCAGAACCAAGAATTTGTTCCTCATTGCTGTCCAACTTCCCCTTTAAGAACAAATGTGGCCAGACTTGGTGGCTCAAGCCTTTAGTCCCAGCACTCAGAAGACAGAGGCAGGAGGATCCCTGTGAGTTCAAGGCCAGCCTGATCTGCATAGTGAGTTCTAGACTACATAGTAGGACACAGTCTCACAAAACAAATGAACAAACAAAAATCAAAAAAGAGCTAATGCATATTTGCTGAATAGATGAGTTTTTCACATTTATCTTCTAGCTATGCTGTGTCCATCTGTCCTCCCATTGTCCATTTATCTACTCACCCATTAATTCACCCATCCATCTATACATCCGTCACCTGTTTATCCATCCATTATCCACCCATGTTCTATCTGTACATCATCAATCCATCTCATTCATCCATCTGTTCTCTATCCATCATGTATTTAGCTATTTACCCATCTACCATCATCTATCTGCCCCACTCATCGCATCGTCTATCTGTCCACCCATCAATTCATTCATCATCTTCTTAGGCATTTATTCACCAATTGTCCATCTATCTTAGTTAGGGTTTCTATTGCTGTGAAGAGACACCATGACCAAGGCAACTATTTTTTGTTGTTGTTGTTGTTGTTTTTGTTTGTTGAGACAGGGTTTCTCTGTAGCTTTGGAGCCCTTCCTGGAACTCACTCTGAAGACCAGGCTGGCCTCAAACTCAAAGAGATCAACCTGTCTCTACCTCCCAAGTGCTGGGATTAAAGGCATGCACCACCCCTGACCACATCCCTGGCTGAGGCAACTCTTATAAAGAAAAACATTTAATTGAGGTAACTCACTTACAGTTTCAAAGATTCAGTCCATTATCATCATGGCAGGAAGCATGGCAACATGCAGGCAGACATTGTGCTAGAGAAGGAGTGAGGCTTCGACATCTTGATTCACAGACAGCAGGAAGTATTCTGAGACACTGGGTGGATTCTTGAGCATATGAGACTTCAAAGCCCACCTCTACAGTGACACATTTCCTCCAAAAAGGTCATATCTACTCCAACAAAACCACACCTCCTAACAGTGCCATTCCCTTCGGAGGGCATTTTCTTTCAAACCACCATGCCATCCATCTAACAGTATATCTGCCATCTGTTGTCCATCTACTGTTCATCTATCCATCCAAACATCTTCTTATCCATCCCATTGCCTATCTACCCATCTACCATTTTACTCCTCATCTGTTCATCTATTATCCACCCATTCATTAACTGATCAATCTCTCTACCATCTATCTATCTACCAACTGTATCTTAGTTACTTTTCCTGTTGCTGTAATAAAATACTCTGAATAAAGCAAATTAAGGGAGAAAGTGTTTACTCTGGCATATAGTTCAAAGGCACTGTCAAGTCATGGAGGAGAGGTCCAGGCAGCAGGAGCTTGGAGCATCTGGTCACACCCTCCATTAGGAAGCAGAAAACATGAAAGATGCTGCTGCTCGGCAACCTTTCTCCATTTATGCAATCCAGCATCCCAGCTAGGGAATGGCACCACCCTAGGTGGACCGGTCTTATCTCAGTGATCAAAATCAAAAGAATCTCTTTCTGGACATGCCCACAGGCTTATCTCAAAAGCAACTCTAGATTTTGTTGAAGTGACAACAATATCACTATCACATCAACTACCCAGACATCTACCAAGTCCTTTTTTAAGGCAGGGCCTCATTTTATAGCTCTGACTGGCCTGGAACTCACTCTGTAGACCAGGCTGGCCTCGAACTAAAAGAAATCTGCCTGCCTCTGCTTCCCAAGTGCTGGAATTAAAGGTGGGTACCACCATATCTGGCCCCATCCACCAATTCTTGTAGTCATCAATGTATATGTTGTCCAACCGTCTCTCTGTAAATACATTTACCTATCCATCTATTATCTTTCCACCTATCCATCTACACATGTATACACACACATACATACACACATACATATCACACACACACACAAATTTAACTTAAAAGGACAAACTGGGCTGAAGAGATGGCTCAGCAGTTAGCATCCACACAGTGGCTAACAAACACCTGTAACTCCAGTTCCAAGGAATCTGATGCCTTCTTCCCTAGGCATGGTGCACATTCCTACATGCAGGCAAAACACTCATACACATAAAATAAAAATATGTCTAAAAATATTAAGTTAAAAAAATAAGCAGGGCGACAATGGTGCATGCTTTGATCTCAACACTCAGGAGGTGGAGGCAGGTGGATCTCTGAGTTCCAGGCCAGCCTGGTCTACAGAGTGAGTTCCAGGACAGCCAGGACTACATTATTTTTTAGACAGGGTTTCTTTTCCATGGGCTCCCAATAAGAAGCAGACAGAGTGCTTCTTCTACTTCGGGAAATCACCAAATGGCGGATGACGCAGGTGCAGCCGGGAGGGCCCGGAGGACCCGGGAGCCCA